AACTGTCGACAGCAGGAATAGAATCTTAGAGTTTATTTATTTCTCTCATGCGTAAAGCAGGCATACAGAACAGAAAAGCACTACTGTAACACTTGAATATATTGGCCCAAATGAAGCAAGAAAAATGAAGCAAAAAATATGGAAATTGAAAAGCATTTCTAATAGAATGGAAATTTTTCGGAAAAAGATGAAGAATGAGCATCTAAGAAAATACTTTTCTGCTAGAGAAATGGGAAAGAAAAAGACACAGAAGGAAAGAAGAAAGCTGCGGCGCTGCACGGACTTCCATCTTCACAAATATATTGCCAACATAAATCCCTGAAAAACTAATAAAACTCCAAAGAAATGGGCTGAAGTTAAAATCATAAAAAAAGGCTCAAACTCTGCCACATTTCAAATTAATACTTTAATGAAAATGACAAAGAAAAAATGATGTCTATCAATTATCAAAATAGTTGTATGCATAAAGTGTGACTAGCAATATCTCCTGAAAGTAGGTTTAAAACCAGGAAAGCTAGCATAAATTGGAACGCATAGGCAGGTCTTTACCTCCCATCCCCGGCCGACGTTGCAGCTTGAGTAACAGCCTTAGGACCCTCTACAAGAAATTGTAAATGGAAGCTAAACAAGTTAGCAAATGAGAATATTATAACCAGCTTTGCCCTTGCAATAAGTAGATATGAATATTACCAGTAAGTGGAAATAGAGAGAAAAATCTTAATACAAAACTGTTTACAATTCATGGATATCAATCTCTGGCTAAACATCCTTTCTGCAACTCATGATAACATTTCAATATCTCAGCAGCACATGCAACTTAAGACAGCTTAACCCCTGAGATAATGAATATAAGAAATCTAAAATAAAATTAAAATAATGAGGCTAAAATTTTTGTGAGGAAAAAAAAGTATTGCAAAGATTGGTTAGAAATCAGAAATTGATAACAGCAATCTCTAGCTAAACATCCTTTCTACAAGTTATAACATTATAGAATCCCCTTGTCCTAAAAATCATTTCCACAACTCATGATATATCAAATAACATTTCAAAATCTAAGAGGCACATGCAAGCCTATACCCCAGAGATATCTACAGTAAGAAATGTAAAATAATTAGCTAGAACTTCGTTTTCTTTGCTCTTAAAGCTAGCAAAAGTACCCTCTAATAATGTAGCTCATATCTATACTTTCTTTGTACAATAATCATGAAATCATTGGAACCCTAAGGGTGTTAAAATTCTTGAATATTATACTAGCTAAGGAAAGGTTAAGAGGTTGAAAGGTTTTTGTGTCCATAGGTAGCATCTTTGTTAATAGGTATACATTAAGTAAGCATTAGGGTGTACACCCGAGTGGTAGTTGTCAAAGGGGAAAAGATTGCAAGATCTCCTCTCCCTCTCTCCAGGGTCTCCCTATATATATCCACCTAAGATGTCTAAAAAACTAGAGCAGCAAGAAACAAATAGTAATTCTCATTATTATTTCAACATTATGGATGCTCACACAGACGGGAAGAGAACAGGCTACATGGTGCGAAAACTGTCTTGATTACTTAGGCAATACATCCAAAAAATGAAGGAAATACCCTATCAAGAGCAAAAGGGCTAACTTGAAGACACAGGGTGCCACAGAGGCAGTTGTTCGTAACAAATCAGATCCTTAATTAATCCAGAATGAAAGAAACTCGACATGGCGAAGTGCCTAAATGGAACAGATAATTCATGCAAGGAATAAGTTTTTCTAATAAGAAATGGGTTCCAGAGCTAATAAACTGAAGACATAGACGAAGGTAAACATGGAGCAGCAGCTGCAGCATTCCACCTCACTGACACAACTAATGTCCGAATCAAGGTTTGTGTCATTTGAAGCACAACAATGAGATTGTTCCAATAAAGAATTACCCCAGAAGAAAAAACAGTTGTTCGACTTTGGATGGTACAAATACAAGAGCATCCATATGAAAGAACATACTTTTCAACATAAAATCCGCAGCTACATAAACTACAATGAGCTGCTCAGTAACAAGGAACCAAGATACAAAAACGATTATGCATCCACAATATCGGGCAAGGGCCTTAGGGCATTAAAAAAAAGTAAGATGCCCAGATTCCGTAGCCATCCTATCACATCAGCGCATCACACCAAAATACACTACAAAACATAGACACTACCTGATTCCATAACCTGTACGATTTCATTTCACGGAAAGCCCATAATATTAACTTGTGCGATAGCTATAATCCGTGGGAGAAAGAGAAAAATCTCTCAAACAGACAGCTTGTTCAACATGGCCAAACAAGACTGGCGGGTATGAGATCTGATCTGACCTTGATAAGATTGAATAGCTTTCATGAGATCGGGATACTTCTTGCTCGCGCATTCCTTGAGCATCTCTTCGAATGCACGGGTCACGAATCCCCCGGCGGCCATTTCGACGAACAGTCACTTTACGTCTTCTCCTCGTCGTCGTATTCTTCTCCTTCAACAGAGATTATCTGCAGAACGACGAAATCGAACAAGAGAAACCGAATCATGCGAAGATTGGATCAAACCATGCTAAGAAACTCGATTGAGGAAGATGAACTTGGAATTTGCCTGAGGATTTGGTTTTTCCTTGACCGAATCTTTGATCGGAGAGAGATGTGAAGCAAGCGGAAACAGCCAGTCTTAGATCTTCACATTCTTTTTGTCAATTCTTGAAACCGGTCGGAGAATTAAACCGGACTTTGCGATTTCAAAATTATATGGGTCTCGAGAATAACGGACGGAAACTCAAGGGTCTTGGAATTTACTGTTTCACCCCTGAACTTCGTAAATTTCATATTGTTTCCCCATCATTTTATTTTCTGTCATCCAAAATATTGACAAAAAATTGACGGTCCATTCCCCCCCCCCCCCAAAAAAAAAGAGAGAGAGATATGGAGAGATGTCATTGAAAAACTTGTGGAAGATGACATTTGAATCTTAGATATAATTTATTTTAAACATTTTTTCTATATAGATGTAACCATTAGATGTATGAAGGTTGAAATATAAGAATTTAATGCGGGTGTTTAACCATTAGACCACATTGTGCACAATTATTTCCGAGACACAAGGATAGGTTGGCTAAAGCTTAAAATTCAAATTAAACGGCTACGCGATTTACAAGAAAAATCATATATAAATATTCAGAAATTGATAAAAATGTATAAAAAATATATATAATTTTTAATTTAATAAATAAATATACTAAATGTTGAAATGTGTGAGGAATTATTAATTATATAATCAACAATTTTAAACCTGCCTTAGCCGTTTCTAATTTAAAAAAAAAAACAATTTTATATTCGATATATAGAACATTATTTATAGCTTTAAGAGTTAAGGTATGTCTTGGGATATTTTAATATTTTGTACATTTATTTTTCAAATAAAAAATTGTTGTATTTTTTTTAACATATTTTTAGAGTTAGTGTATTTTTACTGGATTTTTCTGTTTTATATGTTATTTTTATTTTGTTGTAATTGACCAAACTTTACAACCAATGAACCATAATTAGACAACGAACAAAATAATGAGAATTCTATCCCAACATTATACAATTTTTATTTGTTATACAAAAGCTTTTTGCTCTTTGCATATATTTCATAATTAACAGACTTACGGTTTAACATATTTTATCAAGGTATCAGACTAACATTGACATATCAATGCTTATAAGTATAGACAATACATTTTGTCAGTCACAATATATAATTAATCTCTTAAAATTATTAAAAAGTTAACCAGAAACCAAACCGGGTAGGAAGATAGATAACCGAGACATGACGAAATCCAACCACTCCTAGTGTTATAATCTGTCACATCAAAGATTAACGTTTTGATATTCAGTTCGAATTTGATTCGAGAATGATTTGATTCGATTCTTTTAATTTTACAAAAATGTATATATCAATTGATTATATATTATATTGTATTCGGTTTTGATTTTTAATAACAAAATTTTCCATTTTTTTAAGAAATTTTATTTTTTCGATTTTTTTAAAAATTTGATTCGATTTGTAAAAAAATTGCATTAGAAAATTTAAGATGATTTCGGTTAATAACGGAACTGTATTTTTTGGTTTGGTACGATTATGAGGAACCGTGTCGAAAACGTCCATCACATGGCGAAACCCACCAAACGACGGCGTATCGAATTCAAGCACGTTCCAAAAATAACTGACCCCTTTGTCGTTTACTATACAAGTAAAACAAGAAAACATAAATTCCATGCCACGTGTCGAAAATGAAGGTTTCCATGGAGGATAACCGCGTAGCATCTGGTGCCAGGGCAACGTAGAGGGGAGGAAAGAGAGGAGAGAGAAAGAGAGAGAGGAGGAGAAGAAAACAGAGGAAACGACAGATCGAGACATCTCGAGATGGCGGAGTTTGAAGCGGGAATCGAGGAAGTGAAAACACGCGCCGCCGTAGACGGATCTGGTGTCGCCGACGGAAAAGGCTGCGAGGAGCGTCTCCGGGGCCAGATCAATCGGAACGGAAACATGCAGGGTGAAGGCGCGGGATCTGTTGCGGCCGGAGGTGGATTCTTGGATGAGAAGCCGATTCGCGAAGCTGGGTATGAGCTCTTGTGATTATTGCTATTTTTGTTCTTTGATTCGCCTGATTTTTTATTGAATTTGTGTAGTAATAGCCAAATTCTGGAAGTAGTATCATTTTCTTTGGAATCGAATGTTTCTGGACAAGTATGGGGTTGTAGGCAAACGGATTTTGACTGGAGAAGAAGAGATTTAGGGTTTAGCTGATGCTTGGGGGACGCATCTTTCTGGAGGGGGGAATCTGTTGTTCATGGGGAACATTTCTTCTCGTTTTGTTGCATTACTCGGTGAAAAATTTGTGTTCGTTTGGTAGAACGAGGAGCATAGCCTTCTGTAGTTGATACCAAATCCAAGCTTGCGTCTGTACTGTGAAATTGCTAATTAATTGATTTTTGCTTGAAGATGTTCACCTGAAACACAGAAGAGCTTAGTTGCTTCTTATAAGTCATACGTTGTCTGATGGAATCTTTATCGTTGGGAGCTGAGAGGAATTGCTAAAAAAGCCTTTCACATGCTTCGTGTACTCTCTTACATCAGTGTGGGAAGAGTTTTACCTTTGATTGTCGTGAATCTGATGGATCTTAATACATTGCTTACCGCTATTGAAGATCCATGGAATCTCCGTCTTCTGGGACTGGTGCCATAATGGTCCTTCCAACTCAACTTACCATTTTCTACGGTGGGAGTGTTAGCGTATTTGATGGAATTCCTACTGAAAAGGTTCCCTTTGGAGTTTTATGCAAATTATACTTTCTATGGGAAGGAACCAGCCGTATGAAAGGTTTTCTCTGTGATTATGCATATATAGGTACATGAAATTCTGCGTATCGCTGCTGCTGCTGCGAAAGCCACTGAGACAAAGAATTCTATCAGTACGAGTCCTACTCCATCACCAGCACTGAAGAGAACCCCTTCTTTCTCAAGCACATCTACAGTTGCTTCACCGGGAGCACAGTCATATCCCGTTCATCCAACTGCGTTGTGCAGATCAGTGGCGGGTAAGTACAGATTCACTTGGACACTGTATAATCGAACGTCGAATGTTGATATTCTCTCTTACCTGTTGATTTGTGCTAATTTGGCTTCATCAATGTTCCCTGAATCTGATTCAGACTTGCCAATTGCAAGGAGATATTCCCTTCAAAGATTTCTTGAGAAGAGACGGGACAGGTATTCATACTCTTTCTGTATATAAATATTTCACCTGCTACATTGCTCACTGTATATCTTAGCCTGGAAGCTCGATTCTGATCTGTTTTAAATGTCCGTAATATGCTCTCGAGTACTTCTAAAGACAGATTTGCACACAGATTCCAATGAGATCTGCATCTAACAGCACAACTTGCACCTTCTCTATCTGCAGATTGGTGAACAAGAGCCCTTATTCTGCTCCAGACACCAAAAAGGCCGATCTCATGTCAGACAATTCAAGCACCAATCCCCCTTCTGCAGCCTGTCTTTCGGAGAAAACCCCCGCTACATAGTGGGGGACATCAACTGCACTGTAAGCTAACGTTAATTCGAAGAAGAAAACCCGTAATATATATATATATTATATATAGATGATATTGGAAAGTTACCGAGTTTCTACAGGTCAATGTAGCAAGGTTCTAGAACTGAATCTTCAGGCAGAGAAATGGTATTGGGAGGAATTCTTGGTGAGATCACTGAATGCCCAAGACGATGTGTTTTGTGTTTCTTCTTGGTGTCCAACTAAAGTTGAGATAACAGCTGTTATCTCATTGTTCACAACCTTTGTAGGAAGTGTTTTTTGTGGTCTTGTGGATAAGTTTGTTGTGTAATTCTTGTTTTGAAGACAAGTCTTGTCTCTCTTCTCTTGTGATTGTAATTGTAAACTTGGATGTTTCAAAGAACTTGTTTACCGACTTTGAGTTGTGTGTTTGTATCAATGCTTTTTGTTTTTTGTTCACACATATTAGATTCTGCAATTTCTATTGAGTTTCCATTGAGTTCTTTTATATTGATGATTGTACAATAGAATCTTATTTAAATGTTTTGTCAATTGGTATGTCTTTTGATCAAATTTTTTTATTTTATTTTGTTTTGTCCGAATAATGGATGGATAAATTGTACAAATGAATTTAATTTATTATTTTTGAATTGATACACGATTTTTTTTTAATTATGTTATATGTATATATATTCTGTAATTACCGCCGTCATAAAGTGATTACCAAGATTACAATAGCTGTCTATATCTTTCATTGTATTTCATCTGCGTAATTACGTTCTAGAAATTGTAGTGGAGAAGAGAGAGAGAGATGGCGATGGCGATCGGAGAAGAGGAGTGGCTGGGATGCTGCGGGAGCTCGGACTTCGCGATGCTGATGGCGAAGGCGTCGCCATTTCCGTCCGTCGAGTCCGCGATCGAAGCGGCGAGAGACGTATGGCTCAACCAGCTCAACGTCAAAGCTTGGCTCGACGCCTTCGCTGCTCATCCTCAGATCGGCGTCTCTTCTCCTTCTCGAACCCTAACGGAGCAATCCACGGCCTTAGCCACTGCTTCTGCTTCGACATTGCATGACCTCTCCCTCTGGAATTCGCGCTACAGGGAAAAATTCGGCTTCATCTTCATCACCTGCGCATCTGGAAGGACCCATTCGGAGATGCTTGAGGAATTGAAGCAAAGGTACTCGAACAGGCCGATCTTCGAGCTCGAGCTTGCTGCTAAGGAACAAATGAAAATCGTAGAACTCCGTATTGCGAAGTTGTTCTCTGACAAGGCAAAAATCTCAACAATCCCACAAGGTATTTTCCTGATCCTCCCAAAACCCTTCTCCCTTTTTTACAACAAATTCGTGGATAGATAGATCAAGATATTGGTTCATCGTGAGGATCAAAACGTCTCCTTCTCAAGCAAATTTATGGAGTCAATCAGTAGAATGATCCACAAGTACGATCAGTAAATTGGGTATTTTGCTTTTGTTTACACTCTTGTTAACTGCAGTCTTTTGGTTTCTCATGTTCCAGAAGATCGACTGAGAATCATAGGAGGGCATCTGAATGTCGGATCAACAGAAGCAAAGGCCGAAAAACCGGTTCAACCTTCAAAAAGAACTCGGCCTCCGATCACCACTCATGTCTTGGACGTTTCTCAGGGTTCGCCAGCATCGGGTGTTGAAGTTGTTTTGGAGGTATGGAGTGGCAATTCTTCTCACGCAGGACCTCGTTTCGGTCAGGGCGATATCTCGGGCTGGTCAATGGTGGGTGCTTCTGTGACGGATAAGGACGGAAGGAGCGGGCAGTTGATGGAAATGGTCGAGGCTTTGAATCCGGGGACATACAGAATCAGCTTCAACACCGGAAAGTACTGTCCAGGCGGGTTTTTCCCTTACGTCACGATCGCTTTCGAGGTCAGAGAATCACAGAAACTGGAGCATTTCCATGTTCCGCTGCTGGTTTCTCCGTTCTCGTTCACCACTTACCGTGGAAGCTAGAACAAGCTTTACTGTAGTGACATGTCCGAACCGGTTTGTTGCCTGTGCAATAACTTTCCATGAAACCCAAAATCACAAGTGTTTGTGTATGTTCTAGTTCTTTCGCAATTAACCATGAGACAGAAAAAGTTTTACCGATTTCATTGAACACCTAAACCTGTCATACAAAAAAGCATATCAGCTCGATCTCGAACGTGGATCTGGTCTGATCGTCGTGGGTTTAGAAGGCTGGACAGCATGCACGAAAGAGGAATTCACTATTTAGGTTAAGAAATACAAGAAAATGTAGAGTTTGCTGGCTTGCGAGGTAATTCGAAAAGCCACAACTCTTTACAACCAAAAAAAAAAAAACAGGACCAAGATACTGTTCGTGTTGGTACAAACAGAACATTCGTAAGTCACGTGGACGTTAAACGCAGCCGCTTTACATCCCCAATACAGAGAATCAGACACGCAAAAAGATGAGAGACAGAGACAAAGGCCAAACTTTGGTCGGAAAAGGCGAAGGGCGTGGTTAGTGAAAGCTGCGCATGATGCCGTGGATATATCCTCCGGTCATTATAAACGATACAAACGATACAACTCCGGCTGGAAACATCTTCTTCGATCTCATGAAACGTGATCCCATCACCCACGTCAATGCAGCCGCCATTGCTTTCAAGTCGCAAACATTAAAAAAAACAAGAAAACATAAAATGACTCTCACATAAAAACACAGTGACTATGGCTAACTGTCATCTATCCATTTCCAATTGGGAAAAAAAGGGTTTTGATAATCAGATTCAAGCTTCTTCTTATCTTTGTTGCAAGCAGGTTAAGCATATTAAACATCAGAATCACTTGTAGGGTGCAGTAGAAGTTCAGTACTTGAATTGGTCCTTTGATTGTCAGTTATCAAAAAGCTCAGTTCTGCGGACTGGAACAGGAAACTTCTAACTTTTCGATATCAATGTCGATCATTACTAAGATGAACCAAAAGAACCCGACAAGAAATATTTCCATGACTTGGTCTCGATTTCTTACCTACACCCATGGTTGATGCGAAAACAGGTTTTGTTGGAAGCTCCCGAAACACATAAAGCAAAACAGCAGCTGATAGTCCTCCAGCAAGCAACGATTTCTGGCTGCCGCTCTTTAGGTAACCCATCAGTCCACCCACTGAAATCAAATGCATGGAACAGTGTTATCCATAGCGTATGGCAGTACATGGCGTCAAGCAAATTATAGGCCATAGATTTATGGCGGACGTCATGGGCAGATATTATGACGGTTCCAAAAATATATTATATTTATAAGGATAAACAAAATAAAGCATCATCAACTGCTCAAATCAATTAGCAAGATTAGACTGGACAAATGGTATCAAAGTGCCAGTCAAGAGCATGGGTAAATTCATCGCGAGATCTATCTACAAAGCAATCTGGCAAAAAAAATCATCTAACTAGTATTCAGATACGGGGTCTGGCATCAGCATCAATCCTTAAGAAAAGAATGGGAGAACATAGAAGAGGACAGGAGAAACTCAAACGTCAGCCATGGAAAACGTAGACAATAGCATATCTAAAACTTTCTGCTACTACACATCAAATTCTGCCTGAACTCAAGCCATGAACACATATATACGACAAGATCACCGGAAAATATACAAACACGCTCGCAAGTTCTTACCATACTCATTTTCCTATGGTACGGTCTTGATATGTATATTGATCAAGCGAGAGATAACCTTGTTATCCCCATTGAACTGAACCCATTCACAGTATGTTTACAAATCCATGAAAAAACATCAACTTCCAGACCAAAACAGAACAAAAATGATTACTTTCACTTAAAAGAATAAGACTCAATGCCCGAAGCTTAGCTTCAATCAGAGACTTGTACCTCCAACGAGTGCAGCGTAACCAAGAGTCAACTTCTGCGACATCGACAATTCCATCTTCCCCTTTCCATCATCCTGCGACTCCTCCCCTTCACCGTCTTGTTTCCCATCATCTCCACCTCCGTCTCCTCCTCCACCTCCAAACCTATCACCCCCAGCTCCGCCGCCCCCGCCCCCGCCAGTCTCAGGCTCAATTTCAACCGTTCTTACCCCTGAATCAACGCAATTGGCGGTAACGGTGATGACCTTCGGAGATATTTTGGTAGAATCCAAGGGAGGAACAACATCGGAAACGGCGAAGGAACCGAATGGACGCCGCCGGTGATCGGAGGCGAAAGCGAGAGCACGAAAGCCGTCGGATTTAAGGAGCGAGAGCCGTTGGATCGATGAAGAAGTAGGATTCGTGAATCGGAGCTTGTGTCCTAGGTTAAGAAGAGAGGACTGTGCCGAAGAACCCAACAGCAAATCCGCCATTTTTTTTTTCTGCTGGGTTTGTCTCTGTCTTGGTCGCCACTGCAACGTGCGCTTTTCTAAGGTGCCGATCCTAACCGGGACAGGTAGAACACAACCACGAACCGAACCGGGTTGGACCGGCTTCTTCCGTTTCCTTTCTAATCAAGAAAATTCTCAACCGTTACAAAATGACCGAGAAGATTATAAAAAGGATGAATCATTGCTGTGAAATAAAATTAAATATATTTTTTAAAAATAGTTTATATAGAAATCAGAAATGATTATTTATGGGACGATTACACAAGGATTATGATACAAGACATGACTAGAAATTGATTGGAGTACATTTTTCAAGTAATTTTGGCAATTTTTTTAATTTAATTTATCTATTTTATGTTTCCTCGATTTGAATACGTTTGCACCTTTTTCTCCACAAGGCCCCGACGACGTATGGTTCAATCAACGTTCTTCGTAGTCGTAGCCCGAGCCATGGAGTTAGCTACTTCGACCTTTCTGGGCACACAACTCAGACCCGCCGTTCTGTCGCCGTCGCATAGCCCGACTGCGATGTTCGCCGGGAAACCCACCGGTGGCATGCGTTTCTCCGCCGCCTCCGCCGCCGATTATAGTCGCGGGAAAAGAGGCTCCGACAAGATGTACACGAGGCTCGACTCGTGTCTTGTCATTCCTCCGCCGAGGTACAAGGAACCGCGTGCTGTTGTGAAGTTCCTGGGCGGCGCGTTCGTCGGAGCTGCGCCTGAAGTGACTTATAGGTACATGTTCTTGCTTCGATTGAGTTGAAATGGAAGCTGATAGGTAAAAAAGCATCGTTGTTTCTCTGTTTCAGTTTCTTTTTCTGTAACATCATGCGACAATTTTAGGGGATTTTAGGACATGGGTTTCCGCAATTCTTTGCAAAAAAGATGTTTTTCTCGATGTTGGGTTGTGATCTTTGTAGTTACCTGAAGGAGCTATTGGCTAAGGAAGGGTATGTGATCATATCTGTGCCGTACAATGTGACATTTGATCATGAACGAGCTGCTAAGCAGGTTTATGAGAGGTTCAATTCCTGCTTGGACATGATGCTCTCGTCCGGGATTCCGAATGCGGATTTGAGGCCGGAAGATCTCGCTGACCTTCCTCTTTTCTCGGTCGGTCACAGGTCAGATAACTGCTGTTGCTTCAGTTCTTGGTTTTAAATGTTTTTACTCTTGAAAATTGTAATGCGGAATTAGAAGAGAAAAAGAACAGAATCCTGTCTGTTACTACTTCTTGAATTACAATACTCACATTCATAGGGAAAAAATAGAAACAAATAAGGAAGAAAATAACGGTGAAACATGATATGATGGAAACAAATAAGTTTAGAGATGATTGACACAATTAACAATTGATTTCTGAATTGATTTTGTGTCCACAATCATTTCCATTTTTTTCCAAATACATACTTGTTTCCTCGTTCGAATACTTACTGCATAACAAGTGTGTGGAGCTTGTTAACAGAAACGAACCCACAATGTTGATATGCTTCGGTTCTGTTTCTATACCTGCGTTTTCGGATATGCTTTTCGTTCAATGTTTATTAAGAGCTGTATTTGATTTCTGTAATGATGTTTCTATGACTGCCTGTTTGATGTAATCTTGTTGCGTTTCAAGCCAATCGAGGTCGGTTCTTGGTCGGATTTACTTTGTGATTGTGGTAAGATTTTTATGTGGGCTTTGCATTGACTATTGTTTTATGACTTGTTCTCTAAATTTATGTCTGTTAATGTGGGGGCATACACATAGAGTATTAGTTCTTCCAGCCCATAGTTTTGTTGCGATGATCACTTTGTGAATTCACGTTTTAGGAATTGCGGTTGCATTATGCTTAGTTGTGATTTTCTCCCGGTTTCTTGTTGATGACTGTTTCTGTGATGCTGACTACTAAAACATTTTCATCTCTGCTATAGCAATGGTGCACTTCTGCAAGTTCTGACCGGAAGTTATTTCTCTGAGAAGATACCGAAGGTATGGCTATTATCGTGATAATGTTGAAAACATTGATTTAATCTGCAAGAATGGTAAATTTTGGCTATTAGTTTCCTAGACCAGAATGCTAGAAAGTGATGTGATATCCGTTTCTATAGTGTAAGTTAAAGCTTTACCAACCAGCAGGAGTCTGACAAAGAAATATTCTCTCTTTGTGGAAGGCTAATGTCATTGTCTCATTCAATAACAGATCGGCCACAGAGGCAGTCCCGTACTTTGAGCAGGTGCATAGTGTAATTTCAAATAAGCCCTATGATTCTTGTATTGCGGGATTAGTATGGATTATGTGAGCCTGTGAAAACAATAACCAAGTATCATGTTATTTTAGGAAATGTAAATTATGTTAGCCAAAAACTTCTTTGAGTTTCGTATACAAGCCTTGGTTTATACCGTACTATCCAAAAGATGGGTTCTCGTGTGGTTTGAACCACGAGCCGCCAAGGCAAATAGCCATTCATGCTTTAAGCTAGCTAATGTAACCATCCTCACTTATCAGAATGAGTAGTATTTATGGACTGTCTTAGATGGCCTGGTTATAAATCTCTTTTATCTAATCTAGTCCTCGGACTGGGATTTGGGATCTTCAGAATCATCGTACAGTTGCTTGCTCGATGTTTCTCGAGCTGAACTGATGCTTCTTTGATCCGAAACTGATCTAGAATGATGAATTATGGTATACCAAAAGAAATGATACTGTTCTAGTTCCAGCATCTTACATCTCCTGTATAACTAGTGCAGCTCGGCCCTCTTGTCCGCCAGATAATACCACTCGTAGAAGCAACTCCAGTATATGCAATGGCTCAAAGTGCATCAGGTGTTTCTGTCTGTTCGTGTTAGAAATTATGTTTATGTCTTTTATGCTCTCTCTGTAAGATTTATGTTTCATATTATTTGCAATATTTAGCAGAAACAGGGGGGACGAATTTTGATAATTTCCCGTGCTTTTGGTCGTTTTAGGTGATGCATTGAAAGGATTGCTTGAAACGGCGGCAGCTACAATTCTGAACAACGATCAGGAAGCAGTAACATCACTTACCAAACTTGTTGATCAGTTGCCCTCGGTTTTTGGTGAGGTACACTTTCGCCCAAAGCGGGTTCGCTGTCTATCTTTCTCGGGAAAATCTCTAGTTTCTATGGCCCGTGCTGTATTGTTTAGGTAGCTCAGGGAGTGTCAGAGTTCAGGCCAAAACCACCCGAAAACCGTGATTTCTGCAAGAGCTCCTACAATGTTCAGCACACTCTGCTGGTACCAGATATGTTTCTGAGACGCGTTTTGTTTGTCACTGGTAGGGTTAGTTCTGGTCGCTGTAACATTTTTTGTAACAGGTAAAATTCAAATCTGACACGATCGATGAGTCGGATTTACTGGAAGAAACCCTGAGGCCTCGGGTAGAATCGTACGGTGGGACACTCGAAAAGGTTCTGTTAGGTGGCAACCATCTCACTCCTTGCATTCAGGTAAAAGACTCAATCCAAATTCTTTTTAACTTTCCAGCATTGTCTTGAATTCTTCTTTCCATGGTTTTTCCATAACCGGCTTAGTGTCCATCATTGAGTTCTTTTGGGTTGATTAGAATATCCGGTTTAGTTTTGGATTTAGAAAGAATTCATAAATGAAATGGAGACATTTTCTGTGATATTTAAATCGTTCATCATTTACAAATAGGACCAGGCAAAAAAAAAAAAACTGAATTTAGGGTATTCGAATTCGACCCGATCCGCTGGTCGATTATCCAAACATATAGATAAGATCGGTCTATAATGTGAAGGAAACCCGAAAATTAGGTTCAAGTTCATGTAATTGGATCTATCGGGTATTATAGTAAGATGATATTTTTACTCTGAAATCCTTTAGAGATATTACATAGAAAGTTAGAAACCTTTTGAAATCTCTTCAAATTTTTGGTTTGGTTTCGGTTAATCCGAAAATTTGGATAGCAGATCCGAATCAATATGTGATATAGATTTTTGAAAATTTTCATATTTAAGTTCGGATTCGGTACATATGAGTAACTAAAAAACATCTCGGATACCCGATTTTTGGATATATGACCAAAATGGATGCGAGATCGGTACTATGTCGTGAGACTTGAGAAGTCCGAGTAACCGAAAAAACCTCGAATACCCGATCCTTGTGTCTACTCCTAATTATGAATATTTATAATATCAAAAGCAAACAAAATCGAGATTTCTTTTAAAAGGGTTATGATTTTTTTTTTTAGGATCCGAGATGGCAAGTGGGATCTGTATACACACCTGCAGATGCCATCGCTCAGGCGCTGAAGACGCTTTCCCTTAACGATACCCGACTTCTCTCTCGGACAATCGTGGATTGGTTCAAGCAGTTTGAGCACTGATGATGATGATGATGATGATGTTCATTGATGTATATGAACATGCTTCAGCATAAATGCGTACATGTGTGTGTGTATATATACATACGTATGAACAAGCTTCATTCATGTAAAGATATATATATATATATATATATATGTGTGTATAGCTCGGTTCAATGTTCCTAGTTATTTTATTTCCTAGGAATATAAATAAGAACATCGTTTACACCTCAACACATTATTATTATTATTGGTGGTTTTTGTACGCACTTCATAAGCCCAATGGGCAGTGAGTCCCACCTTCCAACATCTCCTCACGCGTGTAAACATTCTAGTGCGAGTGAGACCAGAGTTATTACTGTAGACCAAATCAATCTAAGCCGTTCGATCAACCCAAGCAAATCTCGACTGTTGCTTTGCTCATCCCTTTACCGGGAGAGAAACCAACTGATTGGAACTTGAGATCCCCAGAGCCAAGTGGGTCGTTTCTGGTGTTTCCCCAATTTAGAGTCCGAGTCAACAATAAAATCCCTAGTTCCGTCTCCGGCAGAGTCTCTCCTCGTCGATTGCTGCATACAAGTTTCCAGAAATCGGATTTAGGGTTTTGTATTGATCGATCATGCCGGTCGGGATGGTTTGATGCTGGAGATGACGAGGATAACGAAGTTCTGGTAGGCGGTGGCGGTGGCGGTGGGGTCGGTGACGAAGACGACGAGGCTAATGAGAATCTCAGCTTGAAGATATTGGAGAAATCGTTGCCTCGTCGAGCTGTCAAACGAAGCCGAAGCGAGCTTAGGTTCGACGATTCGAACGAGACGATCATGGCGGATCTTTGTGTATCGTCTTCTAGTATACTGAGTCCTGTTTTGGTTAATGGCGATAGATCTATGCTGAAGAAAAAGGTTCTTTTTGAATGAGTAGATGCTGCAGTTTTTCTCTATGTTGATCCATGTTGCGAATTTCTGTTCCTCTTGTTTTATCACAACTTGAAAAGAGTCGATCGTGGACATGTAGCTGAAAAGTTGGTTTAAATGTCTAATGCCCTCAGTTTTGGATTGCATCAGTCTATTGTTAGGAAAGATGAAGACGAGGTGGAAACAGTAGAGGAGGTAACCAAAGATGAAGAGGGTGGCAAATCTGTAGAACTGAACGCAGGAGAGGGTACATCAAACAACATGGTTCTGAGAATGCTTCTTGTGAGTTGAATTGAATCACTGCTTGTATATCCCTTTTTCGTGGGGGAAAACATAATATATTTCTCTGTGATAGCCATTTTAGTTCTTGTATTCTTTTACTGTCAGCGTCGTCCGAGGTACTTTAATGCTCCAAAGGGAGTTTGTGGGGAAGAAGGGAATATGACGATAAATCGTCCGTCCCGTAAAAAGCGTAAGAAACCTTGCTTTGTATGTGGAAGTTTGGAACATGGTGGGAAGCAGTGTGCAAAGGTTTGTTCTTCTTAAGACAGCATCTCGTACTTACTTGTCAATATGGTAATTTAGTTAGTTGATTATCACCTTGGTTATGTTTGCTCCAAGTAAATATTAGTAAGGCACAGAGATAGTTTATTAGAAGCTTATCAGTGGAATTCTGAGAAAACTTTTGGAAATGTTGGACCCTCTTTTTTTCTTTTCCTGTTCTGAATGGAGGCAATTGAGTTGAGTACATCTTTGTTTTCTTTTCCCGCTTTCGGAAGGCTCAAGAGTGCAATATTTGCAAACAAGTTGGGCACCATGCTAAAAATTGTCCAGATAAGAATAAAAGCGGATCTAGAAACATGGCCATATGCTTAAGATGCGGAGAGTCTGGGCATGACATGTTTTCGTGCAAGTATGAATATTCTCAGGATGATCTGAAGGTTCAGTTCTTTTCTTCTTATCTTTCTCTTACGCCTTCTGTGATTTTTTAATCACTTCTCTTCTTATCATATGGGTATCATCTCAAACCTCACTGTTGCACCTTAAACTTTCCTTAAATCTTTTGTTCCGATAAGGCTGAATAGTGTTATTTGCAGTACAGTTTGATTATTTATACTAATCTTTCTTTGATATGTTTTTACCAGGATATACAATGTTATGTCTGTAAGGCCTTTGGCCATTTGTGTTGTGTCGACCCCTCGAACTCACCACGGTGGGCTGTGTCTTGCTACAGATGCGGTCAACCGGGTCATACTGGACTTGTAAGTTGTTTGAGTTTTTCAAATTGAAAATCATCAGCCCGAGAAAATGTTGTATCTTACTTAGCTTATGGAGTTTTGGCCTCTAATGGGTTTACATAATGTAATCGATCACCTTCACCGAGATGTGATATTGAAATCCGATAAAGAGTATAATAATAATAATATGCTTGTTAGGCATGTGGGAAACCCAATGAGGGAAGAACGAAAAGAGATGCACCGGGTTCATGCTTTAGGTGTGGGAAAGAAGGGCATTATTCCCGTGAATGCCTAAATCCTTATATCCTTGATTCCGCCATTTCATGCTATAGATGTCGAGGAATAGGGCATATTGCTCGGGATTGTCCAGTTTCCACACCGGTAATCTCTCCACATTACTCTCAAAGCCCTTCAACTATCTCTCTCATCTTCCGATTTCGTGTATAACCGAGCAATTTCTTTCTCCATTCAGGTTGTTAAGAGAACCCGTGATACATCTATGCCATCTCGCAAGCCTCAGAAGAAAACTAAAGGGAACGAGGAATATCATTCTGCTCCTCATGAACTAAACGGTAAGACTAAGAAGAGGAAGAGAAAACGGAACCTGAAATCGCTAGAGAAAGCGAAGAACAGTGGTGGATGGGCCACGGAATATCCCGAGGAAGGAGATACTTCGAGTAGAAAGAGAAAGTGCAGAAATCTGAGGTCGCCTGTCGGGCCATCGCCATTGGGTGTGAACCATTGGATCTCAGCATTCAGCTCGGGTGGGTGTCCACCGAGTCCTCCTTTCTCTAGGATTCCAATTTCTTCTCATCATGGAAATGCAACCTCAGCCACAGGGTTTGGCGATCGTCATTACTGCTATGATGAGTTGCCACCGAGCTGTCTTTCCTATAGGATTCCGTTTCCTTCTCATCACGGAAATGCAGCCTCAGCCTCGAGGATTAGCGATCGTCATTACTGCTACGATGAGTTGCCACCGAGCTGTCCTTCCTATAGGATTCCGTTTCCTTCTCATCATGGAAATGCAGCCTCGACCTCGAGGATTAGCGATCGCCATTACTGCTACGATGAGTGGCCATCGAGCTGCCCTTCCTGTAGGAATACGTTTCCTTCTCATCACGGAAATGCAGCCTCGGCCTCGAGGATTAGCGATCGCCATCGCTGCTACGATGAGTGGCCACCGAGTTGTCCTACCTGTAGGATTCCGTTTCCATCTCATCATGGAAATGCAGCCTTGGCCCCGAGGTTTAGCGATCACCATTACTGCTATGATGAGTGGCAACCGAGTTCTTTCTCTAGGATTCCATTTCCTTCTCATCACGGATATGCAGACTCGGTCTCGATGTTTAGTGATCGTCATTACTGCTACGATGAGTGGCAACCGAGTTCTTTCTCTAGGATTCCATTTCCTCCTCATCACGGATATGCAGACTCGGCCTTGATGTTTAGCGATCGTCATTACTGCTACGATGAGTATCAGTGGTAGAGAAAGCATGGACGAGATCAAAAGCTTGAAATCCAAGCTTTTTGGTTTGATAATTTTGAGGGTTTTTAACCCTCTTTGTCTTGTGTCTTGTTGCGATGTTATTACTACACAAAGTGTTTGGCACATAGTTACACTAGTTCCTTTTCTCCTCCTTTCTTTAATAAAGAGAATTGTGTATATACTGTCATTTTTTCTAATCAAAGAACAAGGACATAGAAAAATATATTCCTGAGTATCCGTCCTTTTAAACCCGAGTTTCGAGTATCCATGGGACCGAACTCTGAGGATGAGAACGAGGCCGAGATGTTTGAGAAAAGCGGGACGAGATGAGGGAGGAGGAAAGAGGCGAGACGAGAGGTGGAATCCTAATCTTGACCTTAGACGGGTCATTCGATGGGTACGGACTCTCATCGTCCGACGGATGAGTCTAAAATCCAAGGATTAGGTGTTCCTCGTCACCGGGTCCGTACTCATCTACCGACGAAACAAACTCCTGACTTTTACACATGCGATTCCCGAGTCTAAGAGACTTTCGAACACAAACATCCCCCTAAAACCCCCCGGGAGGGATATAACTATTGAGATTCCGTCATCAAAATTTTGATGCATCACTTATCACACTGACCTAAAAGTCGGATCACAAAGAGTTCGTAGTTTTGTTGACTCTCTTTCCTTCCTTTGGTTCCCCGAATCCAACATCCAACCCCTTTTTTTAACTCTTCTTCTATCTTTTATGCTCAAGTTTTGTTCTCCTGTAACTGTCAGTGGATTCCGGGAAACCCCATTAATGGGTTTTTGGCGGAGAGCCAGATTCTAGGGTTGGTTTTTGAGGAAAAAATTACCCCTAATTCGGGTTCAATCTGCTGTGTATGGTCTGATAGATTAGGGAGTATTGTCTTGTGTTGTAAGAGTGTAGCAATGTCGGATGACTTGGTGATGCATTTCTCCTCCAACTCTTCCAATCAGTCGGACCACTCTTTGCCCGACAAAATCGCCAAGCTCGAAGCTCGCATGACGGGAAGAAGTTCCTCCTCTTCCATGCCGGCGAAGCCTTCGCCGCCGCCGCAGCAGCACGTTTGGTCTTCGGCTTCCTCCGCCGTCAAATTCGCGACGGCGAGCTTGCCGGATCACTCAGTTAGCGATTCCGATGACGAGGTAGCTTCTGATTGTTATACACAGCTACATTAATTGTGGATGAACCAGGCCTCTTTGCTCTTTTCATGCGTTTTTTTTACGTTGAATTTGTCTATGAAACAAATGCTCAGATCATTTGCCATTGGTTGGTGGGATCATCTAACTTAGTCTCATATGTATAAGTGTAGAAGATCGAATTGCCATATATAATCATGCTCATAGATTGACATAACTGGCATTGTCCATCTTTTATGTAGCCATTATCTATTCATTTGCTGCAGAATTTGATTTTCAGTTCTCCCTTATGCTTTAGTGGGCAGTCTTTCTTGTACAAGAATCATAATCGCGAGTTATCGCGCCTTATTTTCTTCGCTATTGTTTCAGAGCACGGGCAACTTCCTAATCCAAGCCAATACCCAAAAGCGCCAGAAAATTCAAGAGTCTAATAACTATGGTGCTTTCGATCGTGCTGAGGTAGTCATTTGCCAGTTCCAGATTACTATCAAGACCAATATATTTTGGCTAATCTCACACATGACATGTTACTGTTTGCGAAAACAACTTATAATGGCATTAATGTTTCTCCTGATGTCTGATTGAAGCAGAAAGAGACTGCGGTTGATGGAAGGCAAAAGATTGTTGAAGTCATTGAGACCACCAATGTAAATAAGAAGAAACAAGGTCGTGGCCGGGGTTCCACATCAGGCAGGGGATGTGGTTCCAAAACTAACAATGATCTGACGAAATATCAGCCTTCAGCTTCACCTGTATCAGTTGCAAATGGTCAGCTGGATGTTTCTTGTCAGAAGGTTAGGTCTACTTTTCCGTTTTGCCTTACAGTCAACACATCTTTTCTTCGACAAGGATTTCTCATGTAGCTAACAAGGATTTCCCATCGAGAAAATGTGGAATTGAAATTATTTTTTGTACAACATAATAATTTGCTGATTGGTCTATTTGCCAAAAGTGTAGCAGATCAAGAAAAACCGTAGCATCTTTTTCGCTTTTTCTTATTTGAAGAAAATTTCCATATCAAAAGATGTTTATTAGTCTTAGTATCTGCAGGCAGGTTATCTGTTGTGATATTTCTGTGTTTTTGATGTTCAGGATTCTAGGCCAGATAGGCAGTCATTGAACGGTGATCGCACTCCATTGGAGGTACTGTTCTGCTATTCATTCCTTTAGTTGTCTAATTTTGTGCTAAAATAACCTATTGCCCTGTTATATCTGTCCTCTTTTGGAGAATATGTAATTGTGTTGAACCTTATTTGTCTCCTATCACTTTGTTAGAAAAACGAGACATGCTGTCTGTCAATGTTCTCATTTACGAAATTATGCTGTTATACTTTTTCTATTAAGCTAATTTTATTATATCAAACTAGGATGAGTTGTCATCTTTGCATGGAAAAGTTGTAATGCTGGAGGAGGAAATACGTAAATCTCGACAAGAGGCTTCTGAATATCAAAACCTGTCCGGGCAACTGGAGAAAGTATTGCATTAATGCCCTTTGATTTTGGTCGATACTGGTTACATGGTTACCATCATTGCCTCTCCCCTTTTTTACATTAGTCTTAATGTGGTATCTGCAGGAGTTAAAAGATCTTAAAGATCAACACCAACAAGGGAAACAAAAGGTGAGGCCCATTTCTGTCAGTTGCCCTTTTATGTATCTGTAACACCCAATTAGAGTTCTTAAGTAGTTTTAATACCTTTCTTTAGTGTTCCCCTTCGTATGGTAGGGCATGGTAACGTGTCGTAAACATTATGTGCGTTGTGCTGGCATGGTAACGTGTCGTAAACATTATGTGCGTTGTGCTCCTTTTTTCTCGGACTAAATTTGGGTGAATCCTCTATGTATTTAAATATTTATTTATCTTTCCTGTAAAACCATATAAGAGAACTTCCCTTTTGAAAATGTATAGATTGGAGGATCTCCTATTAACTCGTTTATCCATTAAGTTAATGCTGCTCTTGCTGCTGGAGAGATGGACAAATCACATAGTTTTCTATTGCATATCTTTGTCAGTTGGAATCCCATAACGTTACCTGTACTACGATTTCCACTTAGCTCTTTCCATTGAGCATTTGGAAATCCTCTTTAAATGATCATTATATTGGCATATCATTGACTCGTTCTCACATCAAACTTTTAACTTTATTTTTCTTGATGCAGACAACTAAAGTAATCTCTGATCTACTTATATCGGTTTCCAAAGCTGAGAGACAAGAAGCGCGGATGAAAGTAAGACAGGGTTCTCTGCGGTTAGGCAATGTTGGTGTACTCAGGTCAGCCATTATGTATTCATCTGAATTTTCCTGGTCCACTTAGATGTTTAAGAGATCCTTCATTTCTCTTCTATTATTTAGCATGAACTACTTAAAACATAGAAGACAAGATTTATTTACCCCATTTTTATCGACTTCAAATAAAATCCATAAGATCATGGTAAATGAAGTTTCTGATGTTGTTTTCTAGGATCTCTTTTATCAGAGTTCAATCTCTCAGCTACGAGCTATTTTGGTGATTTCAGGGCGGGTACCATCATATCTGAGACATGGGAAGATGGTCAAATGTTGAAAGATCTGAATGCTCATCTTGTAGGTTCAGCTGTCTAGAAAGAGCTTCTATTGTTAATGGTCCCTCCATTACGTATTCTGATTTCTCTATTTTGTTTGCGACAACCAGAGGCAACTACTAGAAACTAAGGAGGCCGTTGAGCGGCAAAGAAAGTCACTTAAAAAACGACAAACTGGTAATGGATTTTGTCTACCTTTTTTTATGTTTCTTTTTGAAACTGCCATCCACTGTGCATCTTTACTGTCTTTCTTTGAAAAAACATTGGTTTTGAGCAACCCTTGGTTTTGTTGATTTGCTTGAAGATAAGGGGGACGGGACTGATACAGAATCAGGAGGACAGGAGGAAGATTATCTCATCCAGGATGAGATTTACAAGTCTCGTCTGGCTAGTATTAAGCGTGTATGTCTCTCTCTCTATATATGAGAATTATATATTTATGGCTCAAGTGTTTGAAGCTCATTTTTTATACTACATCAATGGTTCTTGACTACTTTAGGAAGAAGAAGTGATTCTGCGTGAGAGAGACAGGTATGAGCTGGAGAAGGGACGGCTTATACGGGAAATGAAACGCATAAGAGATGAAGATGGTTCTCGTTTCAACAACTTTCCAGTTTTGAATGGCAGATATGCACTTCTAAATCTTCTCGGCAAAGGCGGATTTAGTGAAGTTTATAAGGTCGGAACATTGACATATACTTTCTTTTTAATATGTATGGATCTTTTGCATAATCTTCTATGAATGTCTATCTGTTCCTTTGCCAAATTTGGCAATGTAAAAGATTAAGTCTTTCTGCAGTGATCTGAGGTTACAAATTTGCAGCAGGCCTATGACTTGGTGGATCAAAGATATGTTGCATGCAAACTTCACGGTCTGAATGCTCAGTGGAGTGAAGAAAAGAAGCAAAGTTATATCCGGCATGCCATCAGGGAGTACAATATCCATAAGACTCTTGTGCATCACCACATTGTTCGGCTTTGGGATATTTTTGAAATCGACCAGAATACTTTCTGCACTGTTCTAGAGTATTGCAGCGGTAACTAGATGGAACCCTTGGTGTGCTTTTTCGTATAAAAAAAATCTCAAGCTTTGCCTCTGATAATGTAGAAGACATTCTATGGTTCTCATGCTTATGTTATGCATGCATGTCTCTTACTGCAGGAAAGGATCTTGATGCTGTTTTAAAGGCAACACCTGTCCTTCCCGAGAAAGAAGCTAGGATTATTATTGTTCAAATAGTTCAAGGTCTTGTATATCTAAACAAAAGATCACAGAAGATAATCCATTATGATCTGAAGCCTGGAAATGTTCTATTCGATGAGTTTGGAGTGGCAAAAGTGACTGATTTTGGTCTTAGCAAAATAATGGAAGATGATGTTGGTTCTCAAGGGATGGAGCTTACATCTCAGGGTGCTGGAACATACTGGTGAGCAATCTAAGTTAATGTCCTGGTTCAATCTGTATTCTATCTTAGCCAAGGAATTTCGCTTAAGTTTGGCGCGAATTCTATACATTATCCTACATTATGTTTCACTCGATGTTGTTCGTAAGCGCAATAGTTCGATATAGAGACTGAACTGACATTTGACCTCTTTTATCCACGTGCTTTCATGCAATAAAATATGTCACTGAAGTGATTCTGCAATTTTCAGGTACTTGCCACCAGAATGCTTCGAGCTAAGCAAGACTCCTATGATCTCATCAAAGGTCAGTGGCTGTTTCTTATCATTATTGTTCATCACCTTGTACGTGTCCCCCCCAGAAAAGTTACTAGAAATGAAGAATGAAAAGGCACGGGCTGGGAGTCGGTCTTTGGCTATACTAATCCAAACTACTCAGGTTGATGTATGGTCGGTTGGTGTTCTGTTGTACCAAATGCTGTTCGGGAAGCGTCCCTTTGGGCACGACCAAAGCCAAGAACGGATTCTAAGGGAAGACACCATCATCAAAGCTAGAAAGGTCGAGTTCCCTACGAGACCTGCCGTCTCAAATGAAGCAAAGGTAATCTGATCTTAGTATTCAGCATCCATCCACCATCTTTACAGTGTGACAGAGCCCCATAATAGCCATTCCAAGATTAGAAATGTGAGAGGATGCTTCAAAGTCAGCATCAAGTAAACATTGAACAAAAGGGCTTTAGCTGTAACGAATCACGTGGTTAGTGAGCCCGGTGATCCATGAGGTTTCTAACTCAATGCTTGGTTTTTTGCAGGAGCTGATTCGGCGGTGTCTAACGTATAACCAAGCAGATAGACCAGACGTTCTAACCATGGCACAGGATCCTTATCTTATATACACAAAGAAATGAGAATGTGCAGAAAGAGAGAGAGGCACAGTGTTCAGAAGGTATCCAAAATCCTCGTTCTTTTTGTACATGTTCTTGTAATTTTCTCCCCCAAATCCCCCGGCGGCAGTTCTTTCAACTCCGATAATTAAGCATTTAATATTATATATATATACACCTTTGATTGATGGTTTTTTTTTTATCATTTTATGTGCATATGCATGCATATATATATATATATATGTATATATATATTCTTTTTTCTTTTATTTTTTTAATACAAAAATCTAAAAAATTAAAAACCGAAAATTCTGAATTTGATAATAATTGAACAGAAACCAAAATCCGAAATAGCAAAAAAATAATACCAAAGCAAATAATATTATATATATATATAAGGAAATGGGACAAAAAATGGGGAAAATCACCCAAATAACCCACTTAGGTCGCATCTATTTCAGTGTACACCATCCAAAAAAATTTTTTTTTTTCAATTTTAACCCATTTTTCGGTGGGAAAAGTCTGAAATACCCTTTTCGTTTTATTTTTTGCGACATATAACTGATATACAACTAAAAATAAGATAGATGATTTTTTGCCACCTTTTTTAGAATCAATTGTAACTATATTTAGACTTAATTACGAAGTCGTAATAACGAAGTTGTTTTCGAATGGATAAATATCGTAATTCATTAAGGGTAATTTCATCTTTTCGCAGGGAAAAAAATGTGTTATGTTTTCGGTGGTGTACAGATGAAATAGATGCGATCCAAGTGGGTTATTTGAGTAAAAAACCCAAAAAAATGAGACCATTACTCTCTTATCACTAAAAGAAGCACGACTGACTTCTTATCCACTTGAAACCGTAAACAGAGAAGAAAAAAACCCAGAGGTTCAATTATCCATCTCCATGGCGTCGTCCTTTGGATGGTGGGGTAGAATAGGCAGCATGTCTGCGTTGAATATGAGCAGAAGCAGAGGAGAGAGTGTGGGAAGAGTAGTGAGCGTGAAGGGCGAAACCCAGAAAGAGCCTCGGAAGCTGGGAGTCGGGTCGCCCATTGTGATAGTGGAAGCTCCCAAGGTGATCAAGACAGCCGCCTCGATCCCTTGCCTCAGGCCCAACTCTGGCCTCGTCAACCCCGGTGATGTCGGAAGGTACCTCCTTTTTCCGATGAACTAATTCTTCTGACATTTGTAACTGCGGTCATGAACTATCCGTATCCACGAGCGTTTTTTCTTTGGTGGGTGGTGCAGAATTGTGTCGAGGAAACCCAAGGACGTGTGGGCGGTTCGATTAGCCGTTGGAACGTATCTTTTGGACGGCAAATACTTCAGAGCCTTGGAAGAACTCGACGGCGACCGCTTAGAACAAACTCCTCTTTGATCTTTCTTCTTTATTTTCAAACAAATGAAACTGTTCACGTTCCAATAATTGATCTTTGTCCAATGCATCTATCTCTATGTGAAGTCCCCCCCCCGGAGAGAGAATATCTTCAACTTCAATATTCAGATTCAGATCCCAAAAAAAAAAACGTTGTGGGCTTTTGTGGACCTCAATTTTATATTACTTTGGGCTCAAAACGCAAGGCCCAAAATTGGTAATTACAGAACCCATGAATGAATTAAACTTGGGTTTTATATATATATATATATAGACAGAATGCTCAAACGGTTACGTGATTTGTGAATATCGATATATACACACTTACAAAAAATGGACAAAATAAGATCTCGAGAAGTTGGTTCGTCTATATAAGTCCCACTTGTCATATGGAAACTCAATTAAGAGTTCTCTTCTATATATATATATATATATGTATATATATCAGGGGATATTATTTTAATATTTTGGTATATGTATAGAAGAATTTGGCCAATACTGTTCATATACGTAGTGACGAAATAATTAATAGAATAAGCATCACATCAAATACGGAATCTTAACTTTGATAATACCTAAACATCGTTATATTTTCTTATATTTAACCAAATTATGATAGAATAAACATCATATATCAAAGTCCTTTAAGACTTTTCTTTCATACGTTTCAGTGTATTAAAATGGGTATTTTATTTTATTATGAAATTAATGCGCAAGCCTTTTTTTTAAAAAAAAAAAGCGAACAATATTTTGTTGATGAACCATTTAATAATGTGGTCAATATATTAATTATTTTGTTAAATGCATAGAAAACCCAATTCGGCCAATATTATTTGGACGAAATAAGTAATAGAATAAAAAATCATATCAAATATGAAATCTTAACTTTGATGGCAGCCTAAACACCATTGTAATATGTAGTTTTCCTAATATTAATCAAGTTATAACTGCTAATAATACTATAAACATTGGAATTGTCAAGACTAAAAGAGACAATTTAAATAAATTATTTAATTTAATTTAAATATATATTTCATAAAAATAAATAAATCTTTCAAAAAAAATATCAATAAATATATTAATTTCATATAAATATATTAAATTTAAAACTCACTCAAAATTCCCACCTAAATAATAAAAACGTAGATATATATCAAATTTCGTTAAAAGATATTTAAAAAACAATTTTAAAATTTATATATTTTTATGGAAATTTTAAATAATTAATATACTTATTATGTGGGAACCGTCCAAAATTTATATATATTTTTAATTTCAACGTTTTATTTCTATAGATTGATTTTAAAGAAAAATAAAATAAAATCTACCTTCCATAATTATTTTATAGTTTTTAAATTTTCAATATCATCTATTATAGTTGAATAGGCACGTGTTTACAAAACGAGTGAAAATATTATGTAAAAAAATGTTTTTACACCGTATCTTATACCTTGTTTTTAGTCTCAAAATTAACAAAAAATCTATGTCATCAGTTATGTCATCTCTACACGGTCTTAGCTAGTGATGGCAAGATGAGTCACGTTTTTTTTACCGAGTCGGGCTAAAAAAATAAAAGACCAAATAAAAACGGGTCGAACAAGCCAACTCGCGATGAACTCGAGTCCATGTGGACTAGCTCGGTCGTCTCGTGAGCCGATTCGCGAGTTGACATTAAAAAAAACTAGGGTTTCATACTTTAATTTTTTCATTTCTTCTATTTATATAGCAAATTAAAATTCATGATATGTTGATGTTGGTGTATTTTTTTTATTATATTTTGATGTTGTTGGTGTATGACACTTTTTATGTATATTTTAAATGATTAATTTTCATGTAATTTTAAAATTTTTCATATAATTAGATAAAAACGGATTGGCTCGCGAGCCGACTCGGAGCTCGGACAATTTGGTCTGGGTCAAAGTTTTTCTAACTCGTAAAAAAATGGACAGAACGGACTGGGCCAAAAATAAACTGGTTCGAGACGAGTCGATCAGGGTCGTCCGAGCCAGTCCGTTTTACATCACTAATCTTAGCTCATATGAATTTTAAAAAGTTGTCTTCTTCATTTAAAAAAATAATAATAATTAAGAGTAAAAAAAATCAAAATGAAACTGAAAATATATAAGACAATTTAATGTGGTGGAGATTTTTTTAAAAGTGCCCCCATACAAAGTTTCAGATGTCTTATTCCTTTATTTACAACAATAAAACGAAACAATTAAATCTCGAGAATAGCTAATACATAAATTCGTTTTTCATTATAATTCAGAAATTAAACATTTTTAATACACATGCCTTAGGAATGATTGATTTGTTATTAACGAAATAATGTCCACTTCCTAAAATATTAACTCAATACATAATCCATATTTTACATGACTATTAGGTATGACCAATTAGTAGCTATATTACTAAAATTAATTTCAATTATTGAAATTAATTTATTTCAAATTAATAAAAATAAATATAATAGATTATATTTCATTATTTTTATTAATACTTTAATAAGAATTATTTTATAGATATGTTTATATCATATATATATATATATATATATATATATATATATATAAATATAATTAATGGATTTGAGTTGAAGACGTGGGGAAGTTCCAAACACTCGTCACTATCTAGCATCCCCTCCCCGTAAAATAAATGTCTCAAATAATTTCGTATAAACAGACAAATTAGCTCGTGCCAAAAAAAAATACATAAATAAATAGATAAGAGAAAATTCGGATATTTCTTTTCTTTTCAATAAACCCCACGTCATTGGGAATAGAACTACAACTAAATAACATTCAACAAGTGGGCCTGACGGTTATCCGAATTTCATTGGATTACGTACAAGCGTATGTATGTATGCATGTGTATGTATATATGTATGTATGTACATTGGCAAATCAATGGGTCTTCTTCATTACATATGAGTCAAAAGCAAAGATCTTCAGACACAATCAGAGAGCTGAAAATAACAGTCTGGAAGAAAAAGAACCGAGAGTGGAGAAATTGTCAGATACTCGGACAGATCCACTGAGAAACATGACAAAGAGCTGTCTGGTTTTCGCCATTAACGGAGAGAGGTTCGAGCTCGAGCTCTCTTCCATGGACCCTTCAACCACTCTCCTTGATTTCTTGCGCATCAAGACTCCTTTCAAGAGCGTCAAGCTCGGTTGCGGCGAAGGTCAGACAATCCATACTTCTCTCTGTTCTCTTCATCGTACTGAAAAGTCAACGCTTTAATCTGTCGGTTTCAATCATGTTCTTGAATCATCTCTCTCGGTACGTGTTTCTTCATGATATTTTCAGATGTTCTTGTCCCGACCCAGATTCCATCTCCACTTGTTTTCAACACAGATTTTCGTTTTCTCTCTGCAGTTTCTTTCTTCTGGTATCTGGGTTTTTTTCCCCGACAAGGTTTGGTTCTTGTTCATGGCAGGTGGTTGCGGCGCCTGTGTTGTCCTTCTCTCAAAGTACGATCCTGTTCTTGACAAAGTTGAAGACTTCACCATCAGCTCATGCCTCACCCTTCTCTGCAGCATCAATGGCGGATCCATCACCACTTCCGAAGGCCTCGGAAACAGCAGACTAGGGTTCCACCCTATCCACGAGCGATTCTCGGGGTTCCACGCCTCGCAGTGCGGATTCTGCACTCCCGGAATGTGCGTTTCTCTGTTTTCCGCAATCCTAAACGCCGAGAAATCCAACGAGAAAAACCACCCGCCGCCTCCGCTCGGATTCTCCAATCTCACTTCTGCAGAAGCTGAGAAGGCGGTCTCAGGAAACCTTTGCCGTTGCACTGGATATCGTCCGATCGTTGATGCTTGCAAGAGTTTCGCCATTGATGTCGACATCGAGGATCTTGGATTCAACTCCTTTTCCAGGAAAGGAGATAGCAAAGAGGAGATCCTCGGACGGTTACCCCCTTATGATCATAGATCTCAGATTTGTACATTTCCCGAGTTTCTGAAAAACGAGATCAAGATCGATATGTCTTCCGACCCAAGAAAGTATCGATGGTCTGCCCCGGGAAATCTCGGAGAACTTCAAAGCTTGTTAGAATCTTACAATGGTGAAAGTGGGGTTTCGATGAAGTTAGTCGCAGGTAACACGAGCATTGGATACTACAGAGAAGAACGGGAAAAGCGGTATGACAAATACATCGATATCAGGCATATTCCCGAGCTCACGGTGATAAGAGGAAACGAGAAAGGGATCGAACTAGGAGCTGCAGTTACGATATCTAAAGCCATCGAGGTTCTGAAAACAGAACAAGATTCTCATAATCCGTCCTCCAACGCGAATATACTGCGACAAATCGCTTCTCATATGGAAAAGATTGCAAACAGATTCGTCAGAAACTCGGCGACCATAGGAGGAAACCTGGTGATGGCACAGAGGAAGCAGTTCCCTTCTGATCTCACCACGATACTTCTTGCAGTTGGAACAATGGTGAAGATAATCAGTCGATCGAGCCAAGAACGGATCACATTGGAAGAATTTCTCGAGCGACCTCCATTGGAATCCAGTTCCGTGCTTTCAAGCCTCGAGATCCCATTTCAGGATCTTACAAACAACGGTTCCTTAGAAAGAAACAAGCTTTTGCTCTTCAAGACCTACAGAGCGGCACCACGGCCTCTTGGAAACGCTCTATCGTTTCTGAATGCCGCTTTCTTAGCGGAAATTTCTCTGAATCAAAATCTCGACGGCATTGTAGTGAACCATTGTTGCTTAGCTTTCGGGGCATATGGGACGAAACGCGCGAAAAGGGCAAAGAAAGTCGAAGAGTTTCTGTCAGGAAAAGTGATATCTGATGAAGTTTTGTATGAAGCAATCGGTTTGCTGAAAGATTATATAGTACCTGATGATGGTACTCGTAGTCCCGCTTATCGGTCAAGCTTGGCAGTTAGTTTTCTGTTCAAGTTCTTCAGCCCGTTAGCCCAAAAAATTGCTGAATTATCGAACGGTTTACTCAACGGGTCGAAGAATTTCTTGACGGAGACGGAGTTGGAAGGTAAGGAGAATGGTTACCACAACCCCGGTCCTCCGAAACCTGCAGCCTTTCTGTCATCTGCACAACAGATCATCGAGAATCATGAACATAGTCCGGTTGGAAAAGGCGTTGTCAAGGCTGGAGCTTGCCTCCAAGCGTCTGGTGAGTAATATCTCGGTGATTCCTTCAAGGGAAAAGATGAAGATTGATACTGTACGTATTTGCTGAATTCTGAATGTTTTCATATTTCTAGGCGAGGCTGTTTATGTAGACGACATTCCTTCTCCGGAGAATTGCCTATACGGAGCGTTTATATATAGCACGAAGCCGTTGGCACGGATCAAGGGTATACGTTTCAATCAAGATTCAGTTCCAGAAGGAGTTCTTGGCATTGTTACTTACAAAGATATCCCCAAAGGCGGAGTAAATGTCGGCACAAAGGGATTCTTTGCATCAGATCATCTTTTCGCAGATGGAATCACCCGTTACGTCGGTGATAGAATCGCCTTCGTGGTAAACTATTCTTCCTCGATATCAAAATCCCTTTCCTGTGAAGTGTATTGAGAAAAAAATAAGAGTCTATTTCTTTTTTTGACAGATTGCAGATACTCAGAAACATGCAAATATTGCAGCAAAACTTGTTGTGATCGATTACGATACCGAGAATTTAGAACCGCCGATACTGACTGTCGAAGATGCTGTCGAGAAATCCAGCTTCTTCCATATCCCTCCTTTTATGCAGTTTAAACCAGTCGGAGACGTCTCCAAGGGCATGTCAGAAGCTGAGCATAAGATTCTTGGATCAGAGGTCGTCCATTTCAGACATTTATCTTCAAAAATTTTCTTTCTCTGTAAGAGTATTGATTCATTGTCCTGAAATGTCGATTTCAGATACGTTTTGGGTCACAATACTTCTTCTACATGGAGACACAGACTGCTCTTGCAGTGCCTGATGAAGACAATTCCATGGTGGTTTATAGCTCGACTCAGAACCCCGAGTACGTTCACCGTACAGTAGCTGCATGCCTCGGAATTCCCGAGCACAACGTTCGGGTGATCACCCGAAGAGTTGGAGGCGGTTTCGGTGGAAAAGCCTTGAAATCTATGCCTGTGAGTTTTCAAACTGTTCTAGACTAGTATGGTGAGTTTTTGGGTACCTGGCCTCGATCTGTCTCCATGGGTTTTATGCCCGAAGTACTTGCGGGTAACCAAACCAGCAAAAACCTGCAAATTTTTGTTATAATTACCTTATAACACCAAAAGTATAAGGCGTCAAGCGACACAAAACCTGAATCCAAACCCGCAGTCTGAGTTTCTTGTCTCGTCCAATCCATGCTCGGCCTCCTTCGCAGCCGAGTACCACCCCTATTGTAGAGTGTGTTTTTGTGTTGATCCTTCATTAATACATTTATTTCCTTCTTCTGTATATTCTCAGGTGGCTGCAGCTTGTGCACTTGCAGCAAACAAAATGCAGAAACCTGTGAGGACTTATACCGATCGAAAAACTGATATGATAATCTCTGGAGGAAGACATCCTATGAAAGTAACTTACGGTGTCGGGTTTAAATCCGACGGGAAGATCACAGCTTTACAGATAGAGGTTCTGATCAATGCAGGAGCAAATGAAGATATAAGTCCATTGATTCCAGGTGCAATCTTGTGCTCATTGAAGAAATACGATTGGGGAGCGCTTTCCTTCGACGTGAAAGTCTGCAAAACGAACGTTGTGAGTAAAACGGCGATGAGAGCTCCTGGGGATGTACAAGGATCTTATATAGCAGAAGCCATTATTGAACATGTTGCTTCTTACCTTTCCATGGAGGTGGATCTGATCAGGAAGGTTAACTTCCATACTTACGAGAGCTTACGGTTATACCACGACGACAGTGCTGGCGAATTCCCCGAGTTTACGTTACCGCTGATATGGGAAAAAGTCAGCGAATCTTCGAGTTTCAGACAAAGGATGAAGCTTGTTGAGGAGTTCAATACCGCTAACCTATGGAGAAAACGCGGAATTTCTCGGGTACCCGCTGTCTATGGTGTGGCCGTGAGATCAACGCCGGGAAGAGTGAGCATTTTGAGTGATGGGTCAATAGCCGTCGAAGTTGCGGGGATCGAGATAGGACAAGGGCTTTGGACAAAGGTGAAGCAGATGACTGCATATGGCCTCGGGTTGATCAAATGTGGAACGAGCAAGGAGTTACTTGACAAAATCCGGGTTATCCAATCCGACACATTGAGTATTATTCAAGGGACTATGACTGCCGGTAGCACGACGTCTGAGGCGAGCAGCGAAGCCGTGAGGATTTGCTGCAACAGTTTAGTGGAAAGACTTCTTCCGGTCAAGAATGGGTTGATGGATCAAACAGGAGGTCCCGTAACTTGGGAAATGCTCGTTCAAGAGGTCCGTATTCTGAATCTTTCTCCCCCGTCTTCGTGTACTTTCATTCTTCCAGCCTTTGCTCATTGTTCATACTCAAAATGCAGGCGTACAAGCAGTTCATAAACATGTCAGTGAGTACAATGTATAATTCAGATTTCGCTACCGGGCAATACCTGAACTATGGAGCTGCAGTGAGTGAGGTAAGTTTTCTAATCTCTCGGATACCGAATAAATCTTAATCCGATGCTCTAACGTCGAGCAATTTCGATCTTTCTTCTATGAAAAATCTTCCCTTTAAGCAGCATTGGATGAATTCTTGTTCCTTTGTTCTTATACACAGGTCGAAGTAAACATTCTTACAGGCGAAACAACGATCCTGCAAACCGATATTGTATACGACTGTGGGAAAAGCCTCAATCCGGCTGTGGATCTTGGGCAGGTCAAACCCGAGAACTGAAACCATGTTCCTGTTTCTGGATTTGAGTCTCTAATGTTTGTGACTTTTTTCCGGGTCTGCAGATCGAAGGAGCATTCGTTCAAGGACTGGGGTTCTTCATGTTCGAAGAGTATATCACAAGCCCGGATGGCCTGATGGTTTCAGACAGCACATGGACGTATAAAATCCCGACGGTAGACACCATTCCCCGACAGTTCAATGTAGAGATTCTGAACAGTGGACACCACAAGAACCGTGTTCTTTCATCCAAAGGTACTTCCATTCTCCTCTCTTTCGCTGTTCCTTATGACCCGACGGATCGAATCTTCCGAGTTTTTGCTTTCCTTTATGCAGCTTCGGGTGAACCGCCATTGCTTTTGGCCGCCTCTGTACACTGCGCTACCCGAGCAGCTGTGAAAGAAGCCAGGAAGCAGCTTATGACATGGAAAGGACAAGACGAGTTAGATTTGAGCTTCGATTTACCAGTCCCAGCAACAATGCCAGTTGTAAAGGAGCTTTGTGGGCTTGATATCGTCGAGAGATACTTGGAATGGAAAATGCAGCAGAAATTGAAGACTTGACCGCATGTTTTCAGCAAATGCTTACTTTCCTGTAGAATTTGGAATGTTAACTTTACAACAACGGTGGTTTTCTTTGGAGTGTATCGTGAATATGTATCACTGCTGGTAATATGTTGACAACAATCTTTCGGTTTTACATGTGGTATGCATCGGTTATTCATCTCGAGTTTTCTCGAATTTTCCATTCCAAGTAACTTTCAACGATATGTAGCCCACATATTTCTTTCACAGCCGGCATTGTAGCAGGAATCGGCAACTGGAACATCGAACCAGAATCGTCGTGAGACTTCCAAGCTCGGAGTTGTTTCCTTGCTTCTTTTGCAGCGGCTAATGTGGCGCAATGCACGGAAACCGCCAGGAGCAATGGCGGTTCCCCCGAAGCTGCGATCAGAAAAGATGAAAAAACCAGTGAGAACGGAGTTGAAAGAGGTTGAAATTGTTGTTCATGAAATCTATAAAGTAATGGTTTTAGAGACCTTTGGAAGAGAGTACGCGTTTTTCGTGGTTCCCACTGTTCAGAATGTCGACATTGAACTGCCTCGGAATGGTATCTGTCGTCGGGATCTTGTACGTCCATGTACTGTCATTGAGAACGAGTCCATCTGAGTTTGTTGTATACTCTTCGAGCATGAAAAATCCGAGCCCTTGAATGAAAGATCCTTCGATCTGAAACACCAAGAAACATATATGTTCAATCCGCGAGCTGAGAGAGGTTCGGACAAGTTCATTACTCAAATGTCCTGTCGTACCTGTCCTAGATCAACAGCGGGATTGAGGCTTTTTCCGCAGTCATACACGATATCTGTCCTTAGAACCGTAGTTTGTCCTGTCAAAAGATCGATTTCCACCTACACCGATGCCAAAAAAAACCCATGTTAGAAGATATTCAGGTTCAAATAATATCAGTTACCAAAGAGGAAACACTTACCTCGCTTACTGCTGTTCCGTAGTTCAGGTATCGCGAGGAGGTGTAATCAGGAGTGTACAGATTGCTTGCCGATAAGTTCACGGATTGTGCATATGCCTGCGTTTGCAGATACAAATCCGAGTGAAAAAACAAAGAAGATCAGCGTAAGGACAAGACAAGAAAACATGAACGGTGCTTCAACGGATCAAAGATAAGGTGTTGGTGACATAAATGGATGAATATAAACAAAAAGTTGTATAAATAAATATCGATGGAGCTTCTAATGCCATTATCAGGCTAACTCTACAATGGTTAATAGCAAAGACTCTACGATGGTTAATAGCAAAGAGCCCAGAGAAAGTTCTGAAATGCACCTGAGTAATCAACGTATTCCAGTTTACAGGTCCGCTTGATCTCTGCATCAATGTTTCTTTTAAAGGTTTCAATCTTTCGACTAGCGAGTTGCAGCAGAGTCGAACTGCTTCACAGCTTCCCTCGGATGTTGTGCTTCCTCCTGTAAAGTTTCCTTGGATCATGCTCAACGAATCTGATTGTATCACCCGAATTTTCTCCAAGATTTCTTCGGTTCGACCAGATTGGAGCGGACCGAGAGCATAAGCCACCATCTGTTTAACCTTTGTCCACAACCCTTGCCCGAGCTCAATCCCTCCAACCTCTACAGCAATGGAGCCATCGTTTAAAATGCTTACTCTTCCCGGTGTTGAAAATAGTGCAACTTGATAAGTGATGGGTACTCGGGAAATTCCCCGTTTTCTCCACTCGTTAGTTCCGTTGAACTCTTCGATCATCGATACCCGTTTCTCGAAATCGGATGATACAGCCACTCTGTCCCACATCGACGGTAAGGTGTACTCATGGGGTTCCCCTGCACCACCTTTGTAAAACAGAGCTAAACTCTCATATGTATGGAGATTAATCTCTCTGACAATGTCAGTATCCATGGAAAGAGTAGAGGCTACATGTTCGATAATGGCTTCCGCAATATAAGTACCCTGCAAATCACCGGGAGCTCTCATCGTTGTTCTACTCGGAAGATTTGTTCTACAAAGCTTCACATTGAAAGATAGGGTTCCCCAGTTATACTTCTTTAGAGCTCCTATTATGTTGCTTGGAATTATGGCACTTATATCAGGACCTGCACCTGCATCAACAAGTATTTCCAGTTCCAATGCAGTAATCTTCCCGGAAGATTTGAATCCGACACTGTATGTTATCTTCATCGGATGTCTCCCGCCAGTCATTATCATATCCGTCTTCCGATTAACGTATATCCTCACGGGACGCTGCAATGTATTAGCGGCAACCGCACACGCTGTTGCAACCTGAAAGTGTCGGGGAAAAAAGACATGCAATGCCGTTTTTAGGATATTAAACACTCCTTTCTTATTTTCGAGAAAACCATTTGAAACTTTATCAATCATTGGGATCGGGACAGGAAATGAACTCTCGGACAGTAAGCAAAATGGACTTGATAGCTTACGGGAATTGCTTTTTGAGTTTTTCCTCCGAATCCGCCGCCAACCCGTCTTGTTATCACGCGAATGTTATGTTCAGGGACGCCGAGGCAAGCAGCAATGGTGGAATGTGCAAACTGAGGATTCTGAATTGAACTGTAAATCACCATGCACTTGTCTTCATCAGGGACAGCAAGAGCTGTTTGTGTCTCCATATAAAAGAAGTATTGCGACCCAAGTCTAACCTATACATACAAAAAAGTGTAAGTAATGAAACCCAAGAGATCTACTAACGTTTCGCCTTGGAAATGTTGAGGAAAACGCACCTCGGAATTGAGAATCCGATGTTCAGCTTCAGCCATTCCTTTTGATGTATCTCCAACTGGTTGAGGGTATAAGAAAGGAGGGACCGGAAAGAAACTGGATTTCTCCACAGCGTCCTCTACCGATAAGATCGGCGGTTCAAGATCCTCTGTTTCGTATTCGACCACGGCAAGGTTGGCTGCTCTATCGGCGTTTCTCTGTGTATTCGCTACCTGGAAATTTTTATACGTCAGGAACCATTGAAAGGTAGTAAAAATGGCGATGAAACTCAGGGACTCACCACAAGGGCAACAATCTGGCCAACACATTGAGTGATTTCATCTGCAAATAAGGATTCACTACTAAAGAAAGCCTTTGCTCCAATGTTCTGTCCACCTGCTGGAATATCTTTGCAAGAAATGACATCGAGAACGCCGTCCCGTGAAGAATCGTCCTCGAAATGGATACCCTTTATCCGAGCTTTAGGCCTCGTGCTATAGATGAATGCTCCATACAGGCAGTTCAACGGCGAAGGAATGTCATCCACGTAAACAGCCTCGCCTATGATAATAAGAGATGAGAAGATGAATAAACTGATGATCACAAAAGAAAACAACAACGAATCAACATATCTATGCAGTATATGATCATGCATATGTTGTTTCTCACCAGATGCCTGAAGAGAAGCTCCAGCTTTAATAACAGGTTCTCCAACTGGATAGTATTCATCATTTACAATAACATGTTGTGTAGATGATAGCATAGGAAGAGTTTTCTGCGAATTCGGGTGAAACCCATTCTTGTATCCATTCAACGAGCCGTTTGAAGGTTTAGCTCTAGATTGAGTTAAGGGATGAAAGAATTCGAAAAGGAATCCGACCGCCAAGCTCGATCGGTAATCAGGGCTCGTAGTACCATCTTTGGGCACTACGGTATCACGAAGTAACTCGATGGCTTTGTAAAGAACATCATCAGATATTACTTTCCCGGACAAGAACTTCTCAACGACCTTACACCTGATTGCGTGTTTGGTCCCGTAAGCTCCGAAAGCCAATCTACAGTTTCTTACGGTTGTACCTTTCAGCGTTTCGTTGTAAGATATCTCAGCCAAGAAAGCAGCATTCAGATATGCAAGTCCGTTTCCGAGCGGGCGAGGTGCACCTCTGTAGGTTTCGAAGAGAAATTCAGAATCTGCTTCGGGGAAAGATTCGTACCTTCCCAGATCCCAAAACGGGATTTCGACGCTCAAAAGCACATCGCAAGACTCTAATGGATCTCGCTCGAGGAGCTTTTCCAGTGTTATTTTCTCGAGTCCCCGAGAACTCATTATGTTTACCGTTGCATCTGCTGCGAGAAGTATCGTCGCCATGTCGGAAGGAAACTGTTTCCTTTGCGCCATCATTAAATTTCCCCCGATGCTACCGAGATTCCTGATGAATCTCGAAGCGATCTTTTCCATATGGCTAGCAAGTTTTCCAAACATCTGTTCCATATAAGGATAGATCTGAAACTCTTTTCTCTCGTTTAGAGCTTTGATAACCTTAGATATTGTCGCCGCTGCTCCAATTTCAAACCCTGCATCGGTTTTTTGTATCTTTTTCAACTCGGGAATACGAGTTAGATCTATGTATTTGTCGTATTTCTGATCTTTTTCGGCTTTATAGTACCCAGTGCCCGTATTACCCGCCACCAACTTGACAGATACTCCATTAGTAGCCTTGCAAGTTTCCAATAAGCTTTGAAGCTCCTGAACACTGGTAGGGCTGCACCAGCGGTATTTTTTCGGATCAGAAACCATTTCAGACTTTATCTCATCCTTCAGAAACTTCGGGAATGTGCAGATATCGTTGTTACGATCATACCGAGGCAATCTTCTGAGCATTTCTTCTTTGTTCACATTTCCCTTTCTCCAAAACGAGTTGAATCCTAAATCCTCAATATCCACATCCGAAGCAAAACTCTTGCAGGCATCGACAATGGGACGGTAACCGGTGCACCTGCAAAGGTTACCCGAGACAGCCTTTTCCGCCTCGAGAACCGTCATCTTGGAAACTCCTGGTGAGGTTTCTGGGCAAGACGATGTCTTTTCGGCATCTAAAAGTGCGGAGAAGAGGGAAACACACATTCCCGGAGTGCAGAATCCACATTGAGAAGCATGGAATCCGGCGAATCTCTGGTGAATCGGGTGGAATCCGTCTCTGCTGTTTCCGAGCCCTTCAGACGTGGTTATGGAGCAACGATCGATGCTGCAGAGAAGGGTGAGGCATGAACTGATGGTGAAATCTTCCACACGGTTAAGGACAGGATCGTATTTGGACATAAGTACAACACAAGCTCCACATCCTCCTGAAACACAAGAACACAAGAAATGTTTACTCGTCAGGACAGTACGAGAGGCAATCAATCAAACAACTTGTGCGCACAATCAGTAATCTCCTAGAATTCAGATTTGGTCCCATTGTTATACGACAAAGCAAGAACTAAGATTCAGTGTCCTATGTTAGTTACATTCGTATGCATATACATACTTTGTTCGCGCTTGTATATGTGCATTTAGCTGAATATATGTAAGCGTATAAGGACGATGAAGAACAGGGGATATGTTGTATATGACCTTCTCCGCAGCTGAGCTTGACGCTCTTGAATGGAGTCTGATAACGAAGAAACTCCAACAAAGTGGTTGAAGGGTCGAGCGAGGAGAGATAAAGCTCGAACCTTTCGCCATTAATGGCGAAAACCAAGCTCATCTTCCGCGTAATTCCGTCTCACGCGCTCTCTCTGAAACTCTGCTGCCCACCGTACAAATACATACACAAATGCCTTATCTCTCACGCAAATACAGCCACGTAGATAGACGTAGACATATATACACATCAACCAGACGTGTGTATCAGTATTACATACGTATATTTTCTACACGTGTATATGTATCCATGGATGCTTTGGTTAGCAGTTGAAGAATGAAGAACAGAAGAATTAAAGGGGAGTTCTTGGAATAATGACATGTTTTCGCCTAATTTAAAAATAATATACTTTAAAGGGAAATAATGTCAATTTAGTCATCAGATCAGAACTCTACTTTTGGATGATATTCATTTTAATCATTTTAGTAACTTAACTTATTGTCCTAGTTTTTTCATAAATTTTTGTAAACTTTTACAATTCACAGGAGATTTGTTTGATTTTAAGGGATTTAAATACATCTGAAAATTACAAAAATTCTCAGCAAAATATTCATAATAATAGGAATATGGATTTTTTTCGTCTATATTTTTTGCACTTGAAATTATATTTAAAATCCTATAAAATCATAAATTTTATAGTTAATGATTTGATAATTAGCCCATCTTCAACCATTTAGTTGGTATATTTTACGTATGTTCCACATGATTCTCTTATGTGTTGTTCTTTTGAATTTAATTCCTATTTGGTTAGACGTTTTAATGGAATCCAATATCATACCTAGATATATTTAATTAAATAATAAAGTTTAGGGCTTAGGTCCATTTGATTAAATTCTTTCTAATATATAATTCTAATTTCTAAGCATGCATGCATAAAAATAATCACATGGTAGAACCAAATGAAGAGATGGTAGTGATGGAAATAATTATTGCAATGCCCTTCTCATTTAAATCTATATATATAAAGATAGTTTAGAGACTTAGATTGGTATTATTATTATTTTTTAAAATTACCATACATGAGTAAAAGTTGAATTTAAATGACAATTTATAATAGTTGTACCAATTCTAATTTCTAAACCCCTCGATCGATATAGTATTATCACTTTTTGCCACAGCCACTGACCGAATCCTACGCTCCAACATCGTTAGATTTGATGGTCCACGGCCACTTCCATAAATGGTGACTACCAATTTCTTGAATCTTTCATATAAAAAAAATTAAAATGAAAGAAAATTTTGAAGATGGAGTAGCGTCCTCTCTTTCCGCCGTTATCTTATCATATGAGAAAAGATAGGTGCAATATATGAAGCATATAGTTACACGCTCATAATATTATGATGGGAAAAATACATCCACATATATATACACACACACACACACACACTTTATCTTTTTTTTTGGTAAAGATATACACACCTTATCTTAATATTACAAAAATACAAATTAGCCAAAATTAAAAGGGGGGGGGGGCAGAGGGGCGTGTCAATTCAAAATTCAGTTTATTCATGAATTTATAAAAGTTCTATTTATTTGGTTTTCACTAACAAAATATATTTTTAAAACTATAATTTCAATTGGAATTTTTCAATCATTTTCATATGTGATTCAAATTCAGATAGTTTGATGGAACAATTATACCCAACTTATTATATTATTTTGTTGGTATGAATATGTCACTGAAGTCATCCAAACGTCTTTGCTGTGCATTCAAAACATCCCTCACAAAACATTTACATCAAATTTCTGTAAGGAGGAAGAGGGTTGTATTCTCAGTGAGTACAACCACATCCACGCTCCTTCGTCTCTGGCTCCCCGCCGCCATAGGCCGACCTGAAGCTGCGGTCCCATGTGTCGGTAGTGGCAGTTTCCGCGTGAGGCACGTGCCTTGGATGCTTCTCTCGTTTGTCGCCTTTTATCTGCTTCAACGCATGCTTCAGAGCTGGCAATATAGCCTCCATACACTCCGCCACCGCGTTCGGGTTCCCCGGCATGTTGATTATCTACAACCCGATATTGAACCCCAATTACGAGATTGAGAAATGCAAGTCGTTTGAGTTGTAAGTGTAATGGATTATACCAGAGTTGAGCCTCTTATTCCCGCCGCAGCGCGTGAAAGCATCGCAAATTGTGTTACCTGTTCGTCCAGTAAAAGGAAATGGGGCAAAACGATTTAGAATGAATGTTTATTACAGGGTTTTTTTTTCGGCACATGACAATCACTCGGGAGAGGTAAGAATTAGGGTTGGACACAGAACTCGGGTACTCCATCCTCCATCCTCACAAGGCCGAGACCGAGTAATCTCACCGAGAAACCCCAGGGGACAAGACCGAAATCTGGTACACTAAAAACACTCCACCTCCTAATAAAAGTTACCTTTAAGCTCTCTTGCATCATGACGAAGAGGAGACCGGGTGTTTCTTTCTCGATCACCTCTTTTGTTGCTTCGGGTGTTACATCCCTTGGGGTGAATCCAGTCCCACCTATTTCAGGAAATAAGTTGGTCTCACAGATACGACTCAAGGCGAAATCAGATGTACCGGGAAAAAAAGCTGCAGAGTGTTTGAAAGAAATGTCATTACCCAGTGTAAGAATGAGATCAACTCTGTCCACATCGCTCCATCTCTTGAGAATATCCTTGATTCTTTCCACTTCATCAGGAACTACAGCTGTTGCTACTACCTGAGCTCCTCCTAGCTTTTCCGACGAGGAGTTTACCACTGAAACACCCCTGGGCCCACTGTATGGACACCGATAATAAATTATCACAGACAAGAAAAACAAAATACAAAATATATATATATATATGCGGAATCAAGATGATTTTTGTGGAAGAGATCTCATCTAAGATGTTGCAGAGCGTTTTGTACATCCATGTCTCACTATGACAAGGAGCAGCAATATCCGCTTTGCAGTTCTACACTTTGGCATCACATAAGTGACCCCTCAAAAATGACGAAACTCGAGAGGTGTATCTAGATGCATCTTTAAGAAGACAATGGAGTAAAAAACTTCTAATTCTGACAAGAGAGATCATCGACTCTACGAGATCAATTTTGCACCGATTGAGTGCAGTATTGAAACAGCTAATCAACAAAGTATATCGAGACGCTTTTCAATTAGACTACTGAGTTTCAGATACTAGATTAAATATATTGTAAATGGAAACTGGTGCAAAGATATATATCAACAAACATATATGGGAACATAGATCAGATCTATCTGAGAGAGGCAAGAGATTCTGAATTTGGTACAGGACAAACAAAAAATAAAGAAAGGTATAACAGTTTTCATACCTTCGATCAGGTCCAGCCCCAGAGGAAACAGTATCACTGACTGTAAGGATAGCCGCTCTATACTCAGGCCCTCCAGAGTTATCTGCAGGTACTTTCCTTTCTTTTGAAGCGGATTCTGGTTCGGATATTGTGACAATCTTGTCTATACAGAAGCCACTAATGTCGGACATAATGATAGCCGATACAGAAGTTCCGGCAGAAATCACATCACCAGTAGCAGGCAACTCCAACAAAGCATTAGCCGATCTCATACTTAAAAGCCGGCTGCTCATCTGATGACCAGTGCTCACAGCAACAAATCTGACATCCAAATACATTTATTAACCGAATAAAGATGGTAATGCATATCGGAACCTACGAGCAGTTTTAGAGATCTCCAACTGTGTTCATCTTTACAGCAATTACGTTAATGGCTCACTTACAAGAGACTAATGAACATGTTTCTGAGGAACTCACCCAGGAATTCCTGATCCATCATTGTCTTTCCATTTGATGACAGCACGATGAAACTCTGGTCTGACGGGATCTGCCTTTATGGGCTCCTGAAGTCGAGCTCGTACCCTACAAAGAGATTGGAGGGTAAAAATTCTCCATATTGGTTTTTCAGAGGAGTTCCAGATGAAGAAGGATAGAGAAGAAAGCAACATCAAGTAAATTTCAATAACCTCAGCAAATGAGGGCTTGTCCATCCCGCAAGCTGGCGAATTGTGGGAACCACAAAAAGATGGAAACAAACTAAACAGCTTACAGGATTTCCTGGTAATCCAAATGCAAGGATTTTATTCTCCAACATACTCTCAGTTGGTTTTATACTGATCTCTGCAAATGTCAGAGGTTTCCCAGGTTTCATCAATACCTGAAGCAATATATAGATTGTTTAAGTTTCCTGCGGTATATCAGAGTAATCCTAATTCACTTACTGATTTTAGGTATGAAATTAAACAGCAAAAGTTTAACAAAACAAGTGGGCCAAATAAATATAGAAGTAATATCCTATATTAGTAAATACAGAAATGGACTTCAGAAAGATGACCGATGAAGCTTATAATGTTTACATACCTTAGTGAAATATACTTTTCCTTTCTCCTCAAGTAATGGCTTGACAAAATCCTTGTCTCCCATCGAAACACCACCAGAAGTTAGAACAATATTGATTCCAGAGGAGAAAGCACTGTCGAAAACTCTCTTAAGTTCTTCTTTGTCATCTCTAACAATACCAAGGTCAACTACTTTGCAGTACTGTTGCATTGCTGCTCCCAGTAACATTGCCCGATTTGAGTCCCTAATCTACAAAGAACTAACATGGTTTACCATACCAATGATTACATCTGGATTCAAAATTCTTTTAGCTAGTACACTGATGACATATAAAATGCACCAGAAAAGTTTATTATAGATAATACCTGCCCACGACCTAAAGTCCCAACAGTTGGCTCAACAAGTTCATCCCCGGTAGAGAGAACAGCAACTGTTGGCACAGGATATATCTACAGGGAAGATTTTCTTTTTTTAAGCTCAGGCTCTTGCAAGCTTGCCAAGAAAAAAAAACTGATATACAGCAATACCTTCACTGATATCACTCCTGCAGTCGCTAATAAGCCAATTTCTGAGGCACCGATCCTCTCTCCAGATTTTAATATAGTTGTATCCTTCTCGATGTCACAACCCTAACATAAATAAATTGAATTAGTCTCAAAAGCATCTTCCCTTCAATCACACTATATCAAGAACATGATCTGGTAGTGCAAACTTTGCCATCGCCCAAAAAATGAAAACTAGACAATGATTACTTCAACAACTTTTAAAGTCTGCTAGCGAAAGTAAACATGGCTTAACTATCCCTAGGCCTAACAGTGATGACCTAAGTACTACAGTTATGCCAACCCTGAATGGGAGAGTGTCTTCTTGGTGAGAAATACCATATATCAGCCAAGACCTATATGGTGGATAGACAAGCTAGACACATTGGATGTTATCCAATTCAAGTACACATATAAAACTTTTACAGCATCCTCCACCCAATAAAGCATGTACTGGAGTACCCTTCAACTTCAACAACACAAAAACTCCAGTTAATTTACCATATATGTACAGGATTCCTTCTAAGCTTTTCTCAGATCGTAAATTGGCAGTCCGATAAAAGTGACTGGGATACTGTTCTAACCATGAAAAGAACAGAAATAAAATTATTCAAGAAAATCAACCACAAGACAGATCATAAACGAGAAAGAAGAAAGCATACCACTTGACGAATGTCGGTTCCTTTCGTGGTTTGAATCAGAATTCTTACTCTTCTTGATTCAGTTGAGCCCTCTTTAATTTCTTCAGTGTCTTCAACTTGGACAACTGCATCCGCACCATCAGGTATTGGCCCTAGGGAAAAACAAATCAAACAAGAGAATAGGATGAAATCAAACAAGCATTGTTGACGTCTATTGGAAAGCATCAATTACCACTTTCAGGAAAGAGAACTAGAAGAATCCACATCATAACATTTGAAGATAACACAAGTTCATAACTACCGACTCATAATTCACCATATCAGTCATTCCTCTGGCGTTTAACATGACCACAAGGGCTTTATTTACAATTAAAACATAGAAGACAGGTAGAAAACTCTAAGATGAATGAGTGAAAACTCATCATACAGAAATTCGTCCATGGGTTTAATAGACCTACCTCCAGTTGTCACATAAGCCACAGTTCCAGGAGTAACAGTCACTCCCAGTCCATCATTCCCGGCTCTAGATTCTGTAATCACTGGATATTCTCCTGGGCCATCTGAAGCCACAACTGCATACCCATCCTAAAGCAATGGATGAAACAATTCAATCATCTGATGAGGTGCTTACAATGAGAAAACACTCATCACCAGTACATCTTTCATTTCATTTTTTCGTTTTTTAAATTCTCAAAGATGGAACAAGTGAACAGAAATCGACGGCAAAAGTATCAGTCTTAAACAAATTCAACCTCACTCGTACTGAATGTTTTTCATTTCAAGTCGCTGTAAAGTTCCTCTATACGATGTCTTCACTGTCCACAAGATTCGACCAATCAAACGATACAATACTCATGAAGACGCAAATGTATAACGAAATCATTACTACTCCTATCACTACAACAGTGGAAAATCAGACAACGAGAAGTCACGCAACAACCGAGTTGACAGACCAATCACCAAAGCTTGTCGAGTTCTCAATGTAATGCTTGTCGGGACCCGATTGGAATCGATTTTGTGGATGTGATATACCTTGACGGAAGCAGGATATGGAGGAAGAGGATCCGGAGCTCGAATATCCTCCGGGGGGTCGCCCGGCCGGCGCCAGCCGCTCTGCGACGCCGAGCACTATCTGTAAAGCCTCTTCCACCGGAATCATCGCTGCCTTTGCTCCACCGTCGCCGATGCCGCTGCCGCTGCCGCTGCCGCAACAGTATCGACCGGCCATTTCCGATTTTTCAGATAAGAGACGGGAAGAGAGAGAGAGAGAGAGAGAGAGAGAGAGGACAAAAGACGAAACGCAACAAATGGAGACGCAAAGTGGACGGTGAGGTTGGCAGCTGGGATAGATATAACCTTTTACCGAATAGAAGGCCACGTTCATTCATATGACCAAACAGCCGTCTTAGCTCTTTTGGGCTTTGATAATTTTAGCAAATGGGCAGAAGAAACATTTAACTCAAATCTACGGTCACAATCAATCTGCGAACAATGATTGACTATAGAATCAGACTATATAATCGTATTTAAATTGTCTGGATCTTTAAATGGATTGGTAATCGCCCTGAGAAGAACTTTAGATATGACACAAATCACAATTCAAAATTAGACAGTTTAATTGGAGAATACGTAAATATAATTCCTTTTCCATATTAAAATATTAAAATCGATATTATTTTATATTCTAAAGATTATTACACAGCGGCTGCAACGTGTACCCCAAAAAAAAGGACGAAATTACCGTTGTACCCTTCCAATATGCGACTACTTCCAGGATTCATTCCGATTCGAAATGGGTTATATTGTTGTTCCAAGTTCAAAGACCTAGAATTTCTCCCGAAATCTTGTTTACCGGAATTCAGGAACATTTCCCGATTTCCCATGAAATCCTCCGTATTTCATCACTGAATCTCTACAGATTCCGACGCCGATGTGCCCCACAAGCCGATCACCGAGCCCGGACCTGGCTCCGGCTCCATCGCCAACGAGCTCGAGGTCGGTGACCCAGACGGTGAACGGGTCGCACCAGTTCGTGATCCAAGGCTACAGTCTGGCGAAGGGTATGGGGATCGGGAAGTACATTGCCAGTGACCACTTCTGCGTCGGAGGCTACCAGTGGGCGATCTTCTTCTACCCCGACGGTAAGAACCAGGAGGACAACTCCACCTACGTCTCCGTCTTCATCGTTCTCGCCAGCGAAGGCACCGAAGTCAGGGCGCTTTTCGAGTTATCTCTCGTCGATCAAAGCGGCAAAGGGAAGCACAAGGTGCATAGCCATTTCGAGCGCTCGCTTGATTCCGGTCCTTACGCACTCAAATACCGCGGCAGCATGTGGTACGATTTAGCTCCTTTTTGGCTCATTTTATCTGTTAAATTTCTAGATCATGATTGAAATTGTAGTTCATCGTATGCAAACTCTGGAATTCCGTTTGTGGATGATAGTTAGAAGTGCATTTTCATGTTGGTAGCATAAAAAAAATTCGCTATTAGCTCGATCTGTGGTTGCTGTATGCAAGGTTTCTCTGTCCTTTTTTCCTAAATTTGAAGCATGTTGGATAGTTTCCCGATTAGGTAAACTATTTTCTATTATGGTATTCAGTGTCTTGTATTAGGATTTCTGGTACTGTTACTGTGGCATTATATCAAAAATACCCTTAAAATGCTACTTCTACTTCAACACCTACCCTTGTGACCATGTGACCAATGTGATGGAAATATAGTGTGGTCACATATTGATCTCATTGTTCATAACGTTAAATTTATGATGTTTTAATCAAATGATTAGTAAGATATACAAGGTATAAACATAATGAATTAGTGTGATCACCATAAATTGGCCGTTATAATCGATAAAAATCAAAATGTGACCATACTATATTTCGGTCACATTGGTCACATGTGACCAGGGTAGGTCTTGAAATAGAAGTAGCATTTTAAGGGTATTTTTGATAATGACCCTGTTACTGTCATAGAGCCTATGTGTGCAAGGAACAGTCCTGTTCTCTTGGTGTAAAGTTGGAGCAAAAGCAAATCAACCTCTCCTTGGTTTTCACCGAGGTTTGTCTGTCCCAAGATTGCCTGATCTGGGTATGGAGTTTTATGGCTGATGTTTGTCAACATTTGTATCAGAAGATACACCATCCTGTCACATCATTTTGGGATAAAACATAGCGTGTATGCTTGGATGTTATTGCTCTACATGGTATTCTTGGCCTGGCAGGCCTGCTCAATAGTTGCTTTGCAGTTTCTGCTTAGTTTACTGAGGAAGGAATTTCTAGGTGTGAACTCTGTCAACATCACAAGATTTTTCATGCAGAGACCGTGTGGTAGCATTAGAGATGGATGAATGCAATTATTCGTCTTTTTTATGATCAGCTTACTAGTGTTCCTCAAAGTCATGGATAATATCGGTTTACCAACCTCACTGGTGGGCGTTTTACCACTTTATTGTCATCCAGATTTTCTTACTGATTGAATGGCCTTTTCTTGCCTCAGTTTAGTTTGTTTTCTGTTGCTTGCTTACATTCAACTAGCTGAGGTCACTTTGCTCCTGTTTCAGTGGTAATGATTGTTTTTTCTTCTATGTCCTGATCAGGGGATTCAAGCGTTTCTTCAGACGTTCCATACTCGAGACATCTGACTACCTTAAAGATGACTGCTTGAAAATCAATTGTACAGTTGGAGTCGTGGTTTCGGAAATACGTTGCCCACGTTTGCATGTCATTCATGTCCCAGATTCTGAACTTGGATTACATTTTGGAAAGTTACTGGATAACATGGAAGGCTCTGACGTCACATTTGATGTAGCGGGTGAGAAGTTTCAAGCTCATAAACTGGTACTGGCTGCTCGATCCCCATTTTTCAAATCTAAATTTTTCCGTGGGCCAGTGGACAATCAAATTGTCACAATCGATGATTTGGAGCCTAGGGTTTTCAAGGTACAACACTATTGTTTTCTCTCCGCATTTTTTTTAATTTGTTTCTGCCGGTCTTTATCCATTGCATTTCTGTTTGGATGTCCATTCCAGGCCTTGATACATTTCATGTACAAGGATTCTCTTCCAGAAGATGTAGAGCCTGTGAAGACTCATACCTTTCACTCATTAAAGTTGTCTGAAATATCCGAGACATTGATAGCAAAGCTTTTGGCTACCGCGGAAGTATACAAACTAGATAGGCTCAGATTAATGTGTGAATCTCACATCTGCAAGGGCGTATCTATCAACTCTGTCGCCAAGATCCTTGCATTAGCGGACAGATATAACGCCTCTGAACTAAAAGGTGTTTGCCTGAGATTTACTGCTGAAAACCTAGCAGGTAAGCTTCCTCGCCCATACGAAAATCTCACTCACCTTTTGCATACCATTAGAGCCTAATAATTAAGATCCTGCATTATGCATGATATAAACAATGGCTCCATAAACATCTTTATAACTAAATAGATATACCCAGTGAAATGTATACATAGAACTGTATCTGGGCATTTCAGTTTTCGGTTCAGGTAGGTTCGGTTATTTTGGGGCTCGGATTTTTCGGTTTTAGAGAAACCATGTCCATTTGGTTTTTATATTACATTTGGTTCGCTTTAGGTTCGTACGGATACGTTTTTTTTTTTTTTGTTTTAGAAAAATCGTATTTGTTCAGTTTTTACCATACTCGGTGTTGAATACGGTTACTTTTCAGTTCTAGAAAAATCATACCCAATCAATTTTGATATCAGATTCAGTTTGGATATGGCTACATTTTATCCCATAGAAACAGAGCTTGTGATTGCAATGTTGCAGCTGTACTGCAGACAGAAGGCTATGAATACGTGAAAGACCATTGCCCGAAGCTGCAGTCTGAGCTTCTGAAGACGGTGGCGGGCTACGAGGAGGCCAGCATCAGCATTAGCTGCGGTGGAGGTGGAAAGTCTCAGAGCGTTTGGGCCCAACTCTCCGACGGTGGCGACACTAGCAGCCGGCGGGGACGTCAACGCATTTCATAGGAGGAACCCCCTTTATGATAATATTGTTGCCTGTTGGAGTTTAAAGTATGAAACAATTACACATAGTACATCACAATCTACCCTGACAAATAGCGTATTCCTTTTCTTTTTTTTTGTTGCCAAACATAACATTATGTATATGCTTCATTTCATATTCTTGTTTGTTCATTCGGTCCAGAATTTTTTTTGTAGAAAAAAAAATATCTGAAGGCCTTCAGGTTGATAATAGATAAACCATATAGCGGGGGTTTTCTTCGTTTTTCCAACTTTTTATTGATCCATTTTGATAAATAAAAGCGTATATTCTGTTCTGTTTTAGATGATGTTCAATATATATATATATCATACAAACCCTGGGTTTTATATATGCATATTCGGGAAAAATGCAAGAAAATATTGTAGCAAAAACCCATAGAGTTGGGCATGGATGGATGGATGTATGTCTTGGAATTTGAATGATTCGGATTTTAGAGTCCGGAATCCAAATCTCGAACTTTTCGCGGCGACGAGACCGACGTGAGACCGGCGAGAAAGAAATCCGTACCAAGGCACTTAAAAAAAAAAAAAGGTGAACAGTTTTGCCTTTTGCAATGATACTTGTTAAATATATGAGAACACGTAATTATTTGTTAATTTTCCTTTTTTCCGTAGAGTATTTTTCCGTATATTTTTCGTCATTATCGGGGAGCTTACTTTCTTTCTCCTATATTCAATTTTTTTTCTAATTTATTTCCAAAAGTAATTAGGACTTGTTCGTTTTAAAATTGCATAATTTGGAGAGAGAAAAAAAAAGGGTTGAAAAAAGGAAACACAGAAAAAGGCAGGAAGAAGGGTGGACGACTAGGTCTCGAAGTCGTGGAGTCGTGTCCCAAGAAAGCAGGGATTCTTGCTCCCCAAGCAACAACACGCTTCAAAACCCAAAACCCAAAAGAGAAGAATTTCCATCTAACTATTTTTTTTTTCTTTTTCTTTTTTAATTTCCATATTCATCAACCCCTCCTAGTGTGTGAACTCCTCCTATATATATCATACCAATACATACACAAATCTCCATCAAATTTTCATAGTCATGGCAAGACAAGTCGAAGAGGAGCGTATGTGGTGCAGTCACTGCGGCGTTCAGCGCCGTCTCCGCCGTCAAGGCACTGACGGCTCCGTCAAGTATGATCTTCTCCTCCTCCTTTGAAATTCGAGCTTTCCAACTCTAGGGTTTTCTCTTTCTTTCTTTTTTTTGCTGGAAACGGGTTCTGGGCCAAACCCTTTTCTGGATTACGAACAAAAACTGGTTTTTGACTCCATAATCACGTGACGATAAAGATAACTGACAAATAATCGTTTGGCTGTATTTTTTTTGGAAAGGGCTTGTGAAGCGTGCGGAAAAGTGTTGGCGGACGACAGTGGTACGGCGGAGGAATACAATCGCCTCTTCCGGCTCGTCCAAGGCCAAGCCTCCACCAGGCGAAGCCGACGCACCAGCGCCTCTCAGTCTCAGCAATAGTCAATTCTTTTATATATTACATGTTTTGCGTTTTTTTTTTTCATATGATCAGAGCAACGTTTATTCATATATAATACTGCATCATTCTTTGATTTCAACCCTACAGTACCATATATATATATATATACACACACACACACCGAAGCATATGTCTAATAACTTTGAACTCAGGTTTTGATATTTCCTTTTTGGTCTCAAATCGAATTACTAGATAGACCAATCAAACGAAATTAAGTGAAAGATATTTAGGTAACAAGATATTGAATTCAGGAATTTTATATTCAATATCCTAAAAGTCTCGGATACCTAATTCCTTATGCCCTACGCTTTCGTCTCAATTCAAATCCATGACTACAGTCCATCACTAACCAAACACTAACCGAACTTAACGAGTAACGAGAAAACCCTAGAAAATTCTATATATAGAAGAAAGTATAAAGCCCTAGAAATAGCATCAGGCTATCTTGCCATACATCTAGGAATCAAATAGAAGGTCTCTCGGTGAAAAGGGTGCACTATCGTCTAAATTCAAGAGTGTATATTTCAAATCAAATAACTAATTTCTGAGATTAATTTGGGTTTGGTAAAAAAAATACAGGGTAGTAATACAAAAAACACTTCTTGCCCAAATGTTTTTGGGTATCAATCGGATTCCCTCGGCTCGGCCCGATCCAAACCTGCACTCGGCTCGAAGGTTTCGGATTCGCACCGATCCGATTTTTTCGGGTCCATATAGTTAAGTTTGAAGCCTGACTCTATATATTCAGAATTTGGGACGGGGCGAAACGGCACATAATTTCCTTTGTAAAATCTATTTATTTAATTTTTTAAATATCGGATTTTCAAACCGGTTTGATTCGAACTCGAAATCCGATTTGAATCTGACCCGAAAACCTAATTTTTTTCGGGTCGAAAAATTTAAATCCAAAACTAGCTAATTTTCGGAGTGAGCCGACCGACAACCTAGCGTCTGTCTAGCGTCTAAATTGAGTCAATTGACACCCCTCAAATTTTTGCTGCCCTAAATTCTCTGTTTTAGATTGTAGGGGAACCGCT